TATCTCTCTCTCTCTCTCTCTCTCTCTCTCTATCTCTCTCTCTCTCTCTCTCTCTCTCTCTCTCTCTCTCTCTCCGATGCACCCCCCCATTCCCCCCAATAGTTGGTACCCCTCGCTCCTCTCTGTGGTGTGGTTCGGGTTTAGGGGTTCCCCCCGTCTAGTGTGGTGTGGTTCGGGTGTGGGTCTGCTTGGGCTGCGGTGTGGTGTAGTTCGGGGTATGCGTCATTTTCTTTGGGGTTGGTGTCATGATGATGATGATCATCATCATGCTGTTCTTTTGTTGGGTCAACTGTCACAGGAACCGGCCCGTCAGGGAGCGCGATCCTCGTGACAGCTGCATTTTTGAAGCCCTCATGTCGGAGTTGTGGTTGGAAAGTCTCCACTGTCACCAGGATCGGGTGTGTTTGGGACGAGCTGGAACAAACCGACGCAAACCACAAGGAGGCAGGACCACGGAGGTGACGGGTGTCACTGCGATGATCCGCCACGCGAAAGCCAGTGCTTCTGCTCACAGGCAAAAACTGCATCAGAGGCACCATTTGCAAAGGGCAAAGCACGACATCACATCTTCTAATATTGTAACGAGCACCATAACGATGACATTTCTACCAAACGGCTGCAACCATACCCCCGGAGAACACACTGCACCCCCTACCCTAGTTTGCTAGCTGCTGGGCTGGGGGGAGGGGGGGTCAACTGCATCATATATGTTTGAAGGTCTACGATTCACGGCTTCCAGCATTGTGACATGGTCGCGTCATGATAGGGCACCGAAAAAGCGAACCCCTGAACCTGAACGAAACGTCGCGCTGATGTGGGAGTGCGAAGGGCGAGTGTATTTCTTACACGTCGACATCTACAATCGTGGCACGGTCATGCCGATTGTTGACACAGCGCGGGCGAGGACACCGAAATCGTCAGTCGAAATTCAAGGTTTGAAGCCATACAGTTCTTCGACCAGTAACTCTTCAGAAGGAGCTGTTTTCCTTCAGCTTTAATCCCCCTAAACCCTAAACCGAAGTACTATTATCGCTATTATTATAATTATCATTATTACTATTATTATTATTATTGTTATTATCATTATTACTATTAGTATGATGATTATTATTATTATTATAATTATTATTTGCAAGCACTCTGCGCCGGGCCAGCTGCACGCGGCTGTCGAGGAGTTGAGCAGAATCGAAAGATGTCCGAGGCTTGATGTTGGAGTTTCCGAAAATCAGGGGGTACCTTATATTTTGGGGTCCTTTTAATAAGGATCCTACTATTTAGGGTACTATATTAGGGTCCCCTATTTTCGGAAACTCCCATATAACTAACCAAGCATTGCATGTTCTGAGCTCGAAACACTTTAAACTCGAAACCACCCAAAAGCACGTCCAATGCCTCATCTAGAATGGACATCACAACCATAAGAGAGTTCGGCCTCAATGTTGTCAGGCGAGTGAAGTTGGTGTCGAGAGGTTGGAATCTGGCTTTACTTTTTTAGAGGTGCAGAGTTTAGAATTCACGACCTGGAGCTTGCAAACATAAAATGCATCGGGGTTGAACTGGAGATGCAGCTTTTGCCATTCCGGGTCCGGGCGTAGGAACTCCAGGATGCAATGTGTCTGACAACATGGGGCTTGTTAGAGCCGACAGAACATCAATCGGCGGACTTCCAAGCGACGATGAGAAGCGGCTCAGTGTCGGGTTTTCTGATGTTTCCAGGGCGACCCAGCGTGGGGAGACAGGTTTCTTTGCCTGGCTCGTGGCTTAGCGACTCGACCTTGGAAGTCGGCCAGCCTTGCTGGAACTGTGCGCTGATGGACCCTTGAAATCATTTGCATTAGGGTTTAAGGTTTAGGTTGGTGTACGACAAGATTACACCAACAAAATTCTGGGACAGCTGGGTCCGTTCATGCAGCCTTGACCGTATTTTCCACCAGGAGCGACCTGCAAATCACGTACTCCTCGCAGTGGAAGCGCTGAGCTACAAGAGCTGAGAAAAGCTGCCGTCCTAGCACTGCAGAGCACCAGCCCGCCAGTCGCGCTCATGACTTTGTTTGCGCGTGTCCTCTCATTGTTCAGGATCGACCATAAGGGATGTATAAGGTCTTACAAGCATCGCAGGGTTCCAGCAGGATGGCGATGATCGATGCAGCAGAGAAGGCCCGGATACCTACCAAACAGCGTTCAGCCCAAACCCCAAAAACTATGAAGTATTCTCCACGTGAGGAAGGGCCGCCGTTACCTTCAACTACCTTGACACTCCCAAGCACAAAGTTTAAGGGTTAAAACCAGGATTAAACAGACTAAAGTCTAGAGTTGAACTCAGCACCCGGGCCTTGTTGGTTGTAGGGTCTAGGCTTGAAGATTTAGGCACGCCAGGGTTTAGGACATATCAGCTTGAAAATGAACCGCAGAGACGTGCTGAGCATAGCTGGCGTACGCTGCAGCTTCCCGAAGCCCATAACGCTTGAGTTCTGAAAGCGAAGCCTGAACCCTAGCACATAGTTGTTTTAAAGCTCGGAGTGAACAGAATCATGACTCGACTCTCTGCCGGGTTTTAGTGTGTAACGCTTAGGGTTCAGGGCTTGACTTGGGGTCCGAAACTTTACAACCAAAATCGGGTTTCCAGCGAGATTCTCGTCGGCTTGCCGTTTGGGCACCAGCAAAGCCGTGGTGTTCTGCAGCTCTCGTGCTGGGGTTTTAGTGATTATAAGTTTAGGACGTGAATCTTGGTGCTGGGGGACGTAGTGTGACTTAGCTCTTGTTTTTTTGACAGTCGGGTGTTTGGACTTTTGAAGGTGGGGCTTGTTCTTCCGGAGCAGTTTGCAAAGATGCCAATGCCAAAATCCGATCAGCCGGATGGTGATCCGGTCACAGACAGGATGGTGGATGGCTTGCTCCAGCAGCCGCTTGGGAGAGTTTACCGGGGATTTAGGAGTATGGTGTGCATAGGGCTGTAGTGTTTGGGTAGGAGTGTAATGTTTCGGTTTTTACAGTTCTGGGGTTAGGAGAGGAGACCATTGCGGACTACTGTTTAGGGTTTTCAGAATTTCCCAAGCCCCGTTGCATCAAGAATCAGAATAAAGAGTCGCTGTTTTACCACATGGGCCTTATTAGGTTCATTACTTACCCGGAATGTTCAAGACCCAAACCCAAAACCTTAAACCCTTGCGGCCCTAAGCCCCGCACTCCCCTCAGGCACTCCAGACCAAGAATTTAAGCTTTGAGCCTAGACCCTGAACCCTAAGCCAAGACTTACACCCTACCCCAAAACTGGAAACCCTCAAGCGCTCAAATCCCAAGTTTCGAAATCCTGAAGCATTTGAGCTCCGGCGACGCGAGGCCGAGGCTCAAAGCCTCGATAAATACCTTCCCGAAGCTTTGGTGACAGGTCTTAGCGGTAGAGTTTAGGGTTTACATGGTGAGGGTCTAGCGTGTAGGAGTTTGGGGTTGAGGGTTTGGAAGTTGAAGGTTCAGGGTTCACAAGTTCAGGATTTTGGGGGTCGGGGGATGTAGGGCTCTGTGCCACCGAGATGGGGCCTGAACCTGGAACCCGAAACCCTGAAATTCTGGTAATTGAGAGGTTAAACTCTATTCCTGAGGGTTTAGGGTTTGGGCTTCTAAGTCTAGAACACACGTAAGCCTCGAACCTTGAGCCCGAAGAGCAAGGCAAGAGGCACGGCTCAAGAGCCACTTCGACCAGTCGGTGCAGCAACTGTTGGCGGGATGCTTCGCATCGACGGCGAACCTGTCGTCACCGCATCAGGACATGGCCGGATAAGCTTGGGACAGTCTATCTACTTTGTGGGGTGTTTGCCGGTTTGCCGCTTGCGGGCTCTGACATGTCTTTGCTGTCTGGAAACCCTCGGCCTTAGACTTGGTCACACGCCTAGTTCTCATTACCTCGGGCCGAAATGCCCGGAAACCTAAAGCATCCTCGGCCCTACAGCAGAAATCTGAACACCGAGCGCTTCAGCCTGCCCTCACCCTCAGCTGCAAGAAGCCGAAGGAACCTTCCTGACATCAGGATTTTGTGATGCAGGAGGACGAGCATGAGATAAGTCTTCGTGATTCGATGCCTCCTCACTTGGTGAACATCGTGGAGAAAGTCCGGAAAGAGCACATTCAGAGGCTCCAGCACAACCAGAGTATCAATGAGACAATCGAAGGCGCCCAGTCACAATATGCCTTAAACAAGCAGAGACCCAGCCCGGAGCCCTAAACCCCATAAAACTGGAAAGCACGGCCTCCCCAAAGCCTAAACCCCTAGGTATCTATGCCATAACTCGAAAGCCCCAACGCTGAGCTAGCAAATGGCGGCTGCCCGAAACCCAGGCCCCAGGCGGGCCCACGAGCCAACATCCGCAACCTCAAACTTTGAGCCCGCGCCGTAGTAGAGTTCTTGGGCCCAAAACCTACACCCTAAACTCGATCAAAATCTGAATCCAAAACCCCCTTTCGTCGACCCTGCGACCCAAGTCATTTCCCAGGCCACACCAAGCAGGCCACGCAGGTTCTCTCGGATGCCGTGCACACCATTCACAGCCCTTTCGTGATGCCGCCGAAGAAGGTCCAGCAAGCAGCATCAAGGGCTCCGGTTGGTATGGATGCAGATGGATGGGGCATGATGATGGCGGTGATGGTGATGATGATATTGTTGGTGATGATGACGATGATGATGATGATGATGATCCATGGCACTTCGCCCCAAATCTCGATTTCTAAACTCGCGACATCCCGGGCCCTGAGATTTAGAAGTTTCAGGTTTACAGTGCTCGAATTTTTGGGGACTTGTGTTGCTGATTAGGGGGTTGGGGCTGCTGTCTGGAACAGGCGCTTCGCATCTTGACAGAAGCGTACGAGTACGTCGTGGACATGCTGGTCTTGGCTTATGCAATCCATCTCGGTGTAGAGATCGACTATAAGATCGCCAAGAGCCCAGCTGGGCACACACTGCCGAACTCTCCTTCTGCATCATCTTTGCCTGCGACCTCTTCATTAGGATGGCCTTGGCCAAGAGGCAGTTTTTTACAGGCGCGGGGCGGTGGTGGAATTTGCTGGATACCATCACCGTCATTTTATTTGTTGCGAAGTTTCTGGGAGAGAACGAGTTGCTGGAGACGTCTTCGTCTGCCTTCAGGATCATGCGAATGTTTCGCGTTTTTCGAATCTTGTGGGCTGTGCGCGTGAGCCTCGCGCACTCCTCACAGCTCCGACAATTTCGGATATTGCTAGAGTCTCTGTCCGAAAGTATGAACCTTGCTCCTTGTTGGGAACGGTTCATAGTGCTTTGCAGCTCGTATCTCCACTGAGCGGTAAAGACCTCCTAATCTCAATCCCAAGCCCTAAACCCAAACCTCCTGGCCGATAGACTAACCGAGGAATGTTCTACTCTGGCTCCTGATCCTGATTTTCGGCAATGCCTATATCTTCAGTCTGGTTTTCACGGAGGGCAGCTGGTTCCTGTGCCCCAATCCGCAGACCGAGCTCGTGTGCCACAAGTTCGGATCTCTGAAGAGCTCTATCATGACCCTTCTCCAGATACAATACAATGGCTTTTTGTGGGGCTTCCGGGTAGAAGTTCAGGATGCGTTGTCACCGCTTTGTGTCGCTCTCGGTATATATTTCCTGCAACGTCCGAGAGCCCCTTTTCCTGGGTATGTTCGAGGCCGAGGCGTTTCGGGTTGAGGGTTTTTCGTCAACCGAGGTTCGCTCTGGGACGAGCTGGAAATCCTTCCCTGGTATTTTCAATCAACCTTGCTCACCTTTGTAGCGGTGTCGCTGCCCCGTCGCTGCAACCCCGGGCCTTTGAGGCCCAACCCGCAACTAGCCATCGGCAAAGGGTTCAGATGTTGTTGGCTTTGAAGCGCGGTGGGCTTTCGGGGCTTTGAGTCGTGGGTTTCCGGTTTGCGGTTGATTGGGGAGGTTGTTGAGGCGTCCAGTGGTGTTCCATCGTCATAAATCCACACCCAACCCCAGATGCCAAAGTTCGTAGAATCTCATGAGGTGTCATTGAAGTTTCTTCGAGCATACAGTGGATGAAGCTCGATACACGATGCTTCGTCAGCCGAGGCTTGTCATGGCCAACACCATCACCAGCTTCATCTGCAGCCTGCAGACCATCGTTTCAAAGAGGGAGAAAGATCTGCTCATTGACAAGGAGCCGAACTCCGTACCAGAATACCACCAAACCTTACACCCCAAACCCTGTACCTTGAAATCCTGATCCCTAAACCCCAAACCCCAACAAGCCGCTTGGGGGCCTAGCCGTCCGGAGAGCCAGAAAGCAGATTCAGAACTATTGTTTTGGGGACTGCGGGTTAGGGTTTTGGGCGTTTGGGGGTTTAGGGTGCAGCAGGGTTTCGGTGTTCTTTAGACGTTTCAGCTGACGTACGTTCGAGGGTGCCCAGCTTAGGGATCAGGTTTGGGAGCTCGACATGCAAGGTTTTAAAGCCTGAACCATAGAAAAAAAGTGACAGCCCAGCCAAATCCGAACGCGGAAAGCCCTGGAGCCTCACGGCCTCAACATCGGAGGCTTCCAAAGGTGGGATGAAGGTAGGTGGGATCTTCCCAACTAAGAGTCTAATATAAGGGATCCTTTTTTCTACCTACCTTCATCCCACCTTTTGAGGGCCTCCGACAACATCGGTTTAGGATATATAGGGTTTAAGGGGTTCGTCTGGAATTTTCTCAGGGGGGGAACTGCAAGCTTTGGAGCCTGAGGCTTTCATTGGGGAAGTGTCCATAGCTGAGGGTTTCATAGGGAGGCTCACAGTACGTTACAGTGTTTTAGTGGGCGTAAGCTGAGGAACTAGCTGAGCTTAAGCTACCATAGTAGAAGGGAGCTATGAAGTAAGTAGCTTTTCTCACGACCTACATGGGTTTCCGACGAGAATCCATACGGTTTAGGGGTCAAGGTGTCGAGCAGTGTTAGAGGAGCTGGAGGGCAACGAGAAGGTCGTGGGCCAGTTATACAACATCTTCCATGAGCTTGATACGAATGGCAATGGCGCGGTCAGCTGGACAGAGTTCCAGCTGGCTCTGCAGGATCTTCGTCTCGTGATTTTCTCCAAGGGTAAAAGGAGGGACCCTTAATAAGGACCCCCAGGTATATACCCTTAATACAGCTAATTTTTACCCATTATATAGCCCATTATAGGGTAGGGGTCCCCATTAAGGGTCCCTCCTTTTCCCCTTTGATTTTCGGGGCTGGGGCAGAAAAGTCCAGGCGATGAGATGTGTTGCAGAGGATCTGTGGGTTGTGGTAGTGAGTAGAGGGAGATGCGAGAAGTGGACAGCTGTCAAGTTGATCACCGTCGAGACATCGAGGCTATCTCGCGTTAATAATCCTCAGCCCTGTAGCCTGTAACCTCAAAGCCTCAAACTGTACTGTCCCGGTCGGCCGGGTGGAGAAGTAGGCGTTGAGAGTTTCCTCCAGGTGTTAGAGAAACGCGATCCGACTCCGAGGGCAGGATCGGATTTCCGGACATTGCTTCAAGGGGCAGTGGCTCAGGATCCTGACCAAAGCCAGCGAAGTTATTTATGTTGGGGGACACCTGGATAGGCCACCCCGGTGCCCCTGCGTGTGTGCATGTGCGTGGGTGTGTTTAGGGTTAAGGACTCCGGACACGAGCATGCTTTTCGAGTTGCTGGGCCACTGTTTCAGGACGAGCGGATGCACGCGTTTTTGAGCACCTTGGAGCTGGACATGTCAGATGCGAAGAAGATTTTCCACATCCTCGCCTCAGAGCAGTCGCTATGTGGGTTCTGGAAGGTCGTTTATAGTTTCAGTGGAGCAGAGGAGAGTAAAGTAGAGTCTAGTACGTCCTCAAGACGCAACAGAAAACCCCGAGAGGTTTTTCTGGGCCTCCAAGAACTCAGAGCAGCCCAGGACAAACGCCATCGAGGAATCCGACTTCCTGCTGGGTTGCTTACGCATGCGAGGAGGTGCCAGCGGCGTCGACATGGTCAGGATCATGATGGAACAGGAGTGTCAGGGTGAGAGCTCAAATCCCCAACGTCGTAAGCCACCTTGGGCCTGATCTGCCCTGGCCCCTCAAGAGCCACGACAGGAGTGGCTGCACAATGCCACGGTGCATAACAGGACGCTTCTGCACAAGATTACGAGGCCGGAGTTTCCAAAGGCTTTAGGCTTGAGGCTTGAGAGACCACGGTGCGAGGGTTTTCCAGCTAAGTGGTTAGGTTTGAAAAGGCGTGGGTTGCAATTGCTGGATTCAGGGCAAATCATGCTTGAACTAGCGCTCCTGTGCAAGCGGTGTTAGCTATGGAGGGTTGCTTGCTCTTCCACAAACATGCCTCGCTCTCAACCTCATGCCTTACCTTCTGTGGAATCGAGCTGTGCTCAAGCGACTCTTGTGTCAGGCCTACACCCCAAACGTGAACCGTGCCTGAAATCATACACCCAGGAGTGTCCTCGGAGCTGTTTCTGTTCTGAATCCTGTCCGCTCATCTGTGCTCTTATCAGTCTTCGGATCTCTGCTGCTATCTATCCTGCCATCGGCGGTCAGGGGATGGTCGGGCATGGGCAGTGGTTGCTGTCTTGAGTTTACCAACCTTCCAGAGGTGGGGAAGCGACACAAAGTCCCTAAAGCCTAAACTTCTAAACCCATTAGCCTGGGCCTAGACAAGCCGCCCAGGTTGCTATCTGCGGAGCGTCTTGCAAGCCAAGGCATTCGCAATTCTCCTTCTCGGGTGATGCAGGAACAGGCCTGGCCAAGGGTTCGAGGGTTGGAAGCCAGGAGGTTCTGCCGGCATTCTGGCCTTTCTAGGTTTGAAGCAGGATTTTGCGTGTTGGTGGGGTGCAGTACCTTGCCTCCACTTGCTCAGCTTTCGATCGAACGGGTACTTGTGGATGGTGGCTTCACATTCCATATGGTTCCGTAGTGCTGCACCTGGGTTCTCGGATTCCAAATTCGCAATCTGCTGTAATTCAGCAGTATCGTGCAACTGATTCATGGAATCTTCGAAGACTCCAAATCCTGCATCCTGTTGAACTGTACTGAGACTTTTGCTTTTGGACATGCTGGTAGCCGTATTGCCTTATCTGTTGGCTTCTTTTTCTCGCGCCAGGAAGAATGTCTTGAACGCCTTGTTTCATGCAGGACGCTTCACAGACAATCCTTAGCTTGAGGGCTTGAGGACCACCACCAAGGCTCTCCACAGCACTTTGTTCCCAGTGCCTGCGGTAAGACAGCTACCTGAACTGCGGATGAGAACCACCCAGTCCATCCCGAATACCGCCAGCCGGACTGCGGCTCAATCGCTAAGCCTTCTTAAACCTGATCAGATGTCGGAGACTTCAAGTGGCTGGAATCCCGACATCCACGACTTCAACCCCGATGAGCCTGTCGTGGAGGCTGGGATGGAACGGGAAGGCCTTTCCTTACATTGCAGCATTTCGGTCTGAGGGGCCTCTTAGAGCTTAGGGTTCTGGAGTTCATTGTGGGTCCTTCTTCGAGCTTAACAGGACTTAAACATGTGGGGGGCCTCGACTCGATGCTTACTTGCAGTGAAGATCCCTGATTCGGCGAAGCGAATAAAGCGCGATTTGAGGAGGCCGACGACGTCCAGATTCACACATTTCAAAGGAGCAACCTGCAGTCATGGCAGCGGGCTGTCACGCTGCAGGACAGGTTGGAAACTGACGAATGGATGCTGTGCAGCACTTAACCGGGAGAGTGTAGGCGGAACAAGACGGCGCATGCTTTGCACCTGGAGCCTTGGAATGAAAAATGGCTCTCCTGGAAAGCTGGTCAGACAGATCGTTACAGGTCAGGAAATTCGTAAAGGAGCTGGAGCACGATGCTTTAGAGTTACACCCTAGCAAAACCCCTTGCAAAGCCTTGCAAAATCCTGCACTTATGGGTCTGTGTCACAGAGAACCCGGTCCACAGGAGTTGCTCACGATTCGCAGTGACCTCCCGCGCGTTTGCCACGGTTGGAGGAGTGACGACCGTAAATTACGAGTTCGCCTAGGACTTGACAAAGGTGGTACCACGGTTCTAAGGGTGTAGAGTGTTAATGTTGTTATCACCTCTCAAGACTACTGCGTGTTCATACAGCAAGTCGGGGGAGATACATGGCACGTGGGGACGCTTCGTTGGTACAGTCGGGGCGCTTGAGTGGTACACAAGGGACAGTTCGACGGTACATGTGGGACACTTTTACTGGTACGTGATGGGTGGATCGACGGTACCGATGGGACGATTCTGTTGGTACACATCAGGTGCATCGATGCAGTACCGCGACATGCATGTCATGCTAAATTTGGTACTGGTCGGCTAGATAATTTGTCGCGCTAAATGTGGTACATGTCAACCTGTACCGGTACCCCTTGTTTGTACTGCGCACTGTGCAACCCTAGTACCATCCCACGTGTACCCCTGGTACCGTGCCAAGCGCTTCATCCTGGTACGGGCTCCGGCACATCCAGTAAACACTTTCTGTCGATTTTATGTAAGGATGTCATCATCAGATCTCTACAGGGTTTTACAGGGTGCCATCAGGTTGCGTTACAGCGTGTTATAAGGGCGTTTTGAAAGTTTGAAAAGGATGCAGTAACGGGTTGAAAAACTTTTGTAGGGGTTGGGTCTTGATCCCTTTAAATCTTCACCTCGACCGCCCCGAACCCCCAAAACAAAAACCTACAAAGCGCCATGCGCCTCCCAGCTTGATGAATACCCTCCGGAGGAGTGAGCGCTCCGGCCACCATCTGGTGCCCGAGAAGTTGAACCTGCACTTGAGCAGAAAGTGTCGAGATTTCGGACGGGGTTGGGAGTTGCCAGTCTTGCCTCGTCTGACAGTCACCTTGGAAAAAGCCTTTCTAAAGGAACGTTTGGTGCCAGTCCCCGTCGCGTCGATACAAGACCATGCCCACCGGCATCCGGCACCCGCCAAGACAGCCTCACAGAGAGCCTACGTGCAACGCTGTGTTTCACGGAATCCAACATGATGGTCGACGTCCGATGTGACCGATGTTCGATCAAGCCTGGACCCCGTTCAAGGCAACGGGCCCCCGTCGGCAATGCCCCAGGCTCCCACCATGATACCGAGAAGGGCAAAAACGCTTGGGTGGTGTTGGGCTTTGCACAGTGGCCCCTACTCCAAACCCTGAATCCTGATACTCTAATCCCAAGACCCTCACGTTTGGAGCCTGCCATCCTCGGAGAGAACACGCAGAGTTGACAGCCCTTCAGTCGCCCGAAATTAGGTCTGCAACACCTTGACCTACAAAGTACATGGAGGGTGTTCCAGGTTGAAGGTCTGTCAGATTCCGGGTTTCATGTCACTGCTCGAGTGCTTAGGATTTGTGTGTTAAGGCTCAGGATATCCGTCCGCACTTCTCGCCCAGGTACGACTTCGTGTCTCGGCTGCTGACGGACAACCACTCGGCAAGGCGTATAAAGGCTCCCCCGAACCTGAAAAGTAAACAGCGACAAACTCGCGTCCCTGGCACTCACTACACCCTGATTGCAGCATTTACTTGAGCTCCAAGGCAGGGCTCAAGCCCTAAATCTTATCATGCGCGCGTGCGCGCGCGAAGAAGACTGTCTTCACCCTGAACTCAGCGAGAGTATGCCGAGAATCACAGCGATCACCTTTCAGCCCAAGGGACTAGGCCGTAACCCGCAACCCCGCCCATAAACCACACTGAAAGACCAACCCCCGGAAATCACAGAAGCCTCGAGCCCGAAATCTGAAACCTCACCAACCCCAAGCCCAAGCTCGGGAATCCGAAATCCGAGGCCTATCATTACATCCTTCCGCAGACGGCGCCTCCTCAAGGGCTCTGGCTCCGTCTAGGCATGCATCCAGCTGGCTCAGCTCCAACTGTCGGCCAGCAGCTGTTGCAGGTGCGAGGAAGCCCAGGGTTCCGAATCAACCAGATTCCAGATGTACTCTTGATCGTTCCTGCCCAAACGACCCCAATCTTCAAAGCCTAAGCCCTGTCATTTTTCTGGTGGACGGTGTGTGCAGGCGTCTGGTTCTGAAGCCTAGCAGCCCGCAGGTGTCGGAGGGCGCTGCGCTGCCCAGAGCGATTGCCATCATCCGCCAGGTGGAGGGGAACCGGAGCGATGGACGCGGACGCCCATGTTTGGACCTTCTTGTAGACCTGAACCTCGGCGGCTTTCGAGACCAGTGTCCAAAAGCCAGAACCAAAATGCAATTCCGCCCAGCTTGGCTTGGGATCTGTTTTTGTTTGGTTTCCCTCACTTTAGAACCCAGGAAGCGTGGACGGTTCCTGGCTGGGCCGAGGGCTCCGCCGCTGCGTCTTGGCACGGAGGGTGGTGACTGGGCCCCAGCCCCTGAGAAACTTGGCTCTTCAACGCCCTGTCTGGGGTGTATAGGGATGTCTTGGGTTCTCGCAATTCTTATTGATAGCGTGCTAGCAGTTTAGCCTTTCATGCCCTTGAGTATTGGGGATGTAAGGAAGGTCACGTGCAATGGGCTCTCTGCGAGCTACAAGGAGCTTTTGTCCACGCAGCCGTGCGAGCCAGTATGGTATTGCAGCCACTGGTGGGGAGAGCCGATCTTCGAGTTCGTGGCAGGTTGCCGGAGACACGCGGAAGTTCGGCACCTCGTGGCGGATGCACGGTACTGGGTGTGGCTCGCCGAATTCTCTCTATTGCTTTCTCGGATTTTTAACCCGCCCGCAATGCAAGCTGTCGGGTCCTAAGTATGCCCAACAAAAGCTAGAGCCTGGTAAGAAACGTGCAGAGCTGAAGGTGTGGCTATGCCAATCGCCAGCACGAACTCGATCAGGAGATCTCAGTGGATGTTACGTCCACGTCCTTCAATGCGGCACTTCGCGAGGCGAAGGGTCTCCTCCTGATTTTGGACCCAAAGGCCACTCCTTTCTCGAGGATTTGGTGCGACTTCGAGCTTTACACGGCGATCATGAGTCGTGACATGGGGCTCGACATCGTCACTACCATCCCGGCCAAAAATGGGAGCCCGGTTTCCGCAACATTGCACAGTTTTTTGTGGCTTTTCAACATGTACCAGGATACCGGTCCTAGGCGCAGTGTCTGCTGGTGTAGTGGCTTGTACACTCCAGATGTCAGGAGAGAGGCAGACACGCGCATGTTGAGCAAGGACCTGGTCCCGGGCGAACCTGACTTCTCCAATTTATCATTGTGTTTACTGCAAGGGTGTTACATCTAACCATTGATATTATGGGGGCTAAGGAGCCAGGGATGATGATAATCCCTATCAAACAAGGAGCTAAAGAGCCAAGGGAACCCCCCAAAACCACTGGTTAGACATGTTACTGAGTTCTACTGCATTTTTGTGTTGAAAAGGATCGTTTTTCAATGGAGAAGCAAGGAATCCGCAGTGGCCAAGTCGGTCAGGGAGCAGAATTTCCCCATCGATCTGCTAGCTCTGCGGCTATTTTAGAGCATGGGTTAGGGTTTAGGGTTTAGGGTTTCTTTTGCCCCTAAGGGGTCGTCGCCGGCTTCTGTTGCTTGCAGTAGGAAACGAGAGCCCCCCAAGCAGCTGGCACGTCCTCAAGTGACGGAAGCAGAAGACAAAAAAACATGTAGAGCATCGGCCCTCAGAGGTCCTGCGCCTGGTACCAGGGGCCCTATAGCAAGTGGGTTTGAAAATTCAAGCATGTATCTTAAGCCCCAAATAGCAACTCGAGGCACATGGGCTGGAGGTCATGCTGGAAAACGGCATGGCCACCCAGGACCTCTGTCCGCGTCGGGTCCTGGTTTAGGGTTCAGGGGCGCTCTGTGCATCCTGCGAGACTCCATTATCAGTCATGCGTGGTTGAGGGTTGAGGGTTCAGGTTGAGTTGTTATACACTAGAAGCATACGGAGTCTACAATGAGGTCGCTGGGATCTGCGTTTCAGATTCACCCCAGCCTTGCAATTGCTAGAGTCTACTAGAGTCGTCCAGCTGGTGTTTGTTGTATTTTCGGGCTAGCCCATCCCCCAAGCTTCAATGGCTTGCTTGCTTACCTTCCAAGGGCGGCACGGCTAATTTGTGCCACGTCTGTTTATGGTTCATGCGAGGGTCCTCGTTTGTTCGCTGGAACGTCGGAGCTTCTGGCAGCCTAGAGGCCGCTGTCAAGAATGCTCAGTGATCTTAAACAGGGGTTGCTGGCGGGCGCTTGAAGCTCCGGCGAGAAGACCCCTGAGTGACTCGTCTCCGAGCAACCACGACCAGCGGTTGACCTCTGCAGTCTCCGGAGGGTTGGAAGGCCGACTAAACCCGATGCCTCAAGCGCCGAGCCCGAGCAGCCGCAGGAGGAGGACAAGAAGTCGATCCTCCAAGCCATCGCCACGGAGAAGTTCGAACCGGGCCCTGGGTGGCTGGGCCCCACAGGTTCCCGTCTTCTTGTGGGATAGGGTTTAGGGATTCGGGTTTGAGGCTTTCAGGTTCAAGGCGTGATTTGGCATAAAGGAAGCAGCGGCCCATAAGTTCGGGGGGGGGGGGGGGGCATGTTTTGAAGTTTGGTCCTGGGACACCGTAAGTCCAGGAGTTGGTTTGGAGGGAAACCTGATCTGGAACCACAGCCGAGGCGCCTGGCAGTGTAGCGAAAACCTGAACCCTAAGGCCTACTTTAGGATTGTAGGGTTTAGGTTTTGAGGTCGGCCTGAATCCGAAACCTGCCATGCCTTTTAGATCAATCGCGCCGTGTTTTCAGTAAATTTGCGGTTTGTGTCCCCAGGCTTCGCAGTTGGACGCTTGAACTCTAGGTTTGCAGGTAGAGGGCTGCGCGTAAGGGTTCAAGACACAGATGACGAACATGGCCATCATCTTCTTCATCAAAGGGTGGCGAGGGCGACGATGTTGACCATGGTGTTTTACTAGGCCAAGAGCTCCTGATGCAGCTATGGCTATTCACACAACGATTTATGATTAGTGGTAATGTGACAACCCGAACCACAAGACCGAATACTCTGAATCGGAAGTTGCTTCCCAGCGGTGTAGAGTTTGTTGAGGCATCTCTTTGTTCCCGGAGCGCGAGAATGTGCATTCTGAGGCCGAAGTCCAACCCTGAGCCCTGTAAGGCTTGATTCGAAGCCCTGAATGCAATGTTCGATCGTCTCGTGTTCAACTTCTTAGCAGCCGAGAGACCCTGTTACGGGTTTTGGTTCAGGCTACCCATCACCCAGGTCGAGCACAAAGCTTTGATCGATCCCTATCTAGACAAGGTTGAGGGGAGTCACAAGTTGTAGACATGCTTGAAAGACGTAGTCCAGATGCATTCACCACATCCGCAGACGTTTGGGTTTCGGACTGGCATTTCTGAAGCCGTGCCAAGGAAGCCACACGTGTCGAACGAACTGCGGGCCAACATGACCCTGCACTCGACACTTGCCATCCTGGCATGGCCACAGGCACAGTGGCCCTGACGGTTTGGGGTTTAGGGTTCAGGGAACCCTCAACCCTAAACCCCTGAACCTAACTTGTGACCGGAGGAAGTGCGTCAACCTGTGGTTTGGGTCTGGGTGACCTTTCAGAAAGCCTCCCAAGAATTGTCTATGCAGAGTCAGCACCGTTTTCAGACTAAGATCATGGGTCGAATTTTCTGTGACCCCACTTCGAGCCCAAGACAACGGCAACACATCGTACATCTTAGCACTCAGACCCCATTTTGAGCCCAAGACACCGGCAACAAATCGTACATCTTGGCACTGGAAAATTGTACATCTTAGCACTGAGACCCCACTTCGAGCCCAAGACACAAGGTAACAAACCACACATGCAAGATATCATGGCACTAGGTTTGATTACTGCGTCGCTGAGCCCGGAACTCTTAAGCCCTAGACCGTAAACCTTGTATCCGGAATCCAAAAGCCAAGCGTGATCCCGAACACATTAAGGTTGAAACGCACGTGGCGGCTTTTGATAAGTTTTGGCTGTCCTATGCTCTAATCGCGGTATCGGTTCATCAGTTCGATCTTCGGGACCCTTGAAGTACAAAACCCAAATCTAAACCCGGAGCCTTGAAACCCTAAACACTACAGCAAATCCCGTAAAGTTGGAAACCGGATTAAGGCCAAATAGTGCTGGGATTCCCTATACTCTGAAGGATTGAGGCTTGGAAACTTTGGGCGTCTACTGTAAACCCCCAAAGTCCAAACACTCCCAATCTTTCGGGGTGTGGATGCCCGAACTTCCCAAATGAGCACCAACCGAATGCGAAACTCTAGGGGCCTAAACAGCTACTTGTACCATTCCTGAGAGGCTATATTGAACCTCTAGTTGGATATACACTAAAATCTTGTCTTGTTCACGAAAATTACGCCCCTACACTTGAGACTTGAGGATTGGGGTTTAGGGATTAGGAGTTGGGGCTGGTAGTGTTCGGGGTGAAGTTTCAGGTTTCGTCCCGTATGTAGAAGCAGACGGAAGTCCCACTGCTCAGGCTTATTTAGGGGTTCAAGTTCTTGGGTTTTGGGTTTGGCATTTTTGGGGTTCAGGGTTGGGGTTTTGGAACACCTGCTCGCCTTCGTTTTTTAATCCCCAAAGCAGGCGATGAATCGAGACCAGCTGAAATATGGGAAAGGAGACGACAAAATCGACGTCGAAGGAGCAGTGGAACTCTCTTTCAGGTTGTTCTAGGGTTTCGAGCTTTAGGGTTTTCAGAGGACCAATGTTGGGCTTTCGGCCTTTGGGTTCGCGATGAGCGAATCTTTGTATGTCTAGCACTGTTGAGGGTTTGCGGTTCGTGCTTCAGAGGCTAAGACTTATAGGGTCTAGTGTGCGTAAGTGGTTTAGAGCTGACTCGGCCCTCTTTATGGATGATGGGCATCTGCCTCAAGTGTTTTGCCTTTATCAGTTTGCAAGCTTCTCCCAAATTGTCAGGAGTCAGGACGCCGGATAGTCGTGATCGGTTTCTGACATGACCGGTGAATGTCTTGCTGGTGGGTGTGTTTCAACCCGACCAGGTGGGATGATGCCATCAGCCCGAAACCCCAAGCTCGCACTCTCCATACCTTGTCAACAGGGTTTTGAGGTTTACGGTTTTGGGTTTTTGATAACCGGAGCCTCCAAAGACCGCACGGCGCGGCTCGCCGCTCTGCGTGCAGCCCTGCAGAACTGCCTGCAGCAGGAGCCTCAGGCGAGTCCACATGGGCCCCAGCGAATGCAGAGACACAGAGATCATCAACAGGATTTGCGGATTGCACTCCATGATGTGCCATCCGGTCCGGGGCCAGATCCTTGGTCTACTCTTCCATGTTATCAGTGCTATACTGTCACGAAGCACTTGGATAACGTAACCCGAGCTTCGCATCCGAAAGGCCGTCGGTTGTTTACAGCACAGCAAACCCTGTGGAAAGAAACACCCGAACCCCAATCTCCAAACCCGAGAACGGAAGTCGTGCCCTGAACCCGGAGCCGAAACCCTAAACCGTTAAGCCATGCCGCGAACCCCTGCAGGAGCTTTGCATTCGGACGTTACGAGGGACTCCGTTGAGTTGAGCCTAGCGCACTTCGAGAAGACCTGCGTAGATGCAGGCTCAAGTGGAGGGCTTTGGGTTCTTGGAGTTCCGGCATTTAGGGTTTAGGGGAGAGGTTGGCGGGTTCAAGGGGGTTGGGGTGTTTCGGGTGCAGCGATGCTCAGAGATGTTTCAGGGTGTGTCATTACGAAGACTTCGAAGCTCCTTTTGTTTTGGCACTTCCAAGATTCCGCAGTGGTTTCACTTTCGCTTGGGTTCAGGGTTTTGGGTTGGGGGTTCTGTGCCGCGGTTGCACTTCTTGTCAACTGGTGTTTTGTCAGCTATGGTTCTGTCGACAGAGCTGGTATCCGCCAAGAGCAGGTGCTGCTTGGTTTGCCGGTTTGCCGTTTCAAGCTCGAACCTCATGCAAGGACATTTTAGAGTCGTGTTTAGTCGTCGGCTTGGAGTTGCAAGTCAATAACCGTAAATCCCCAACCTGAAATCCTACACCCTAAACCCCAAACCCTATACCCAAGCAATCCCTAAGCCCGGTCACAACCAGGCCTAGTTGTCCTCGGTACCGACGCCCCCAAACCCGAAACACGAGGCGTGAAAGTCCTGGCAGAGTGCCTGCCTCCCAACATCTCCAGCTTGAAGTTGAGCTTCGAAGGTCTCTTCGGCTTGGTTTAGGGTGTATGGCTTCGGCTTCAAAGAGATAGTTTAAGCTTTTGAGGATTAGTTTCTCCTTCTTCTGGGAGCGAAGTTTCGGGCTTTTGGCTTCCATGTAATTCGTCTTCGGAGCTTATGGCTTGGAGCGCTTCTTTGCATCTAAGGCTTCCACATGCATTAAAACAAGGTGAGAGGGTTTCGAGCCTCTCAGAAGTTCATCTCAGCCTGTCTGAGCACATCTCAACTCCCGAGTCAGTCCTTGACTGCTGGAGGTAGCACACGGAAGCTCTGGCCGTGTTTCATATTGGAGTCCAGTTAGAGGAACTAGGCAATGGGATCGGTTCCAAGGAAGTTTGATGTCAATCGCACCGAACCAAAGTACGTCAGTCCGCTTCTTACAGCTATGCGAACAGTAGGACCCAGCATAAACCCGGTACCGGAACACGTTCTTCTCGGGATCAGTACTGGCTCCTTAGCAAGTAAATACCCTAATGACGAGGTATTGGGGTCTTCGACAGCCTATTGCTATGGTACAATGCACTCGAATCCACCTTGTTGCTCAGCGTTTCGCCTACCCGCCACTTCATGGCACAGCACACTCTTCACACCGAGCCCTAACCCCAAACCCCACGTCGTAAATCCCAAATCTTCAATATAGAGGAGTTCCAATGTCCTGCACCTTAATCCCCTAAACCCGCGGGAAGCAGAAACGCTGGGTATCCACCAAAAACTAAACCCTAAAGTCCCCCCGAAGCCTATTGATGATTCCAAGGCTGTATTCAACTGACGGATGCTTCCCTTCATGCACTGGCGTCTCACCTCCCCAAGCTCCGGACCCCAGTCGAGATGGGCGTCAGGGTTGAAACTAGTGTTGAAACCAAGCTTAGGTGTTGTATTGGTTCTAGTCTTCTGGGTTTGTTGTGTAGGGTTGTGGCTTTATGTCAAGGCAGCCAGGTTCTTTTACGGAGTTTTGAATTGGAGTTATGCGTGAATGTTTGGCTTGTTTCGCAGCAAGCCATTAGGACCGCTTTTGGCGAGTGTATACCGAAATGTCGGCCTCCTTCAGGGGCAGGTTGGCGAGCCTGCATTTTGGGTGCGACGATGAGGATATCAGCAATAGAAGCATACATCATATGAAGGGGATAGGGCTTCGCGTTGAGGTTTTAATGCTTCGAGCTTGCGTTCCGTCTTCCGGGTTTCGGGTTGTATATTTTTGTTAAGATGGCTGTTCAGTTTGTATGCATTGGCATTGTCAGTATTGCCAATTGCCCTTGATGCAGTTCTTGTCTTGTTTTCGGGTTTTGTGGGGTTCAGGGAGGGTTTCGGGTTCACGACTTTTAAAGATCAGGGTTTGAGGGCGGGCTTTTCTGACGGTTGACGCCGGAGGCTTGTGAAAAAAGCTACTGGGGCTGGGGATTTAGGGTCCAGCGATTCGTGTGTTTGAGGGTTGCGGACTTGTTGCCTGGGGCTGTATTGTTTACGGAACTAAAACCTGGAGCTCTAAGTGCAGAAAAAGCTTCCGCCCATTACCTTCACAACCGAAATTTCAGACCAATGGAGCTCCTTTAGAGCTGTAAGTTGAGGGTTAAAGGGATTCACGGTTTAGGATTGCGTGTGCGGGGTATGCAGCTTGAAGCTTGAACTAGGACGTTATACCTGGACTTCGTGGGCTGCGAGAATCTGACGGACGTTGGTATGAAGGTGCCATGGAGCTGCACAAACTGGGGGTCGCAGCCCAAAGCCCAGCAATGTAACCCTAAGCCGTGAACCTTAAGTCAAAGACCCGTGAATTTTCGAGAAATTGGCCCACCTTGAGATCTCAAGACCGACAGCCACCGAAGCAAACCCTGTCCAAGAACCTTCAACTTTCAGCCGTTGAACCGTCGACCCTAAACCCCCAGCCTTCAAACCCAAATGTTCAGGTCTGATTTTGGAGCAGGAGCAAGACTAGTCCTTCTGCTCGTTTAAGATATTGTTAGAACCAGAGGTCGAGTGGTCAAACCCGTTAAAACAATCTTACAGAATCCGAACAACGCGCCTTGAAGGTTCTAAGAAACGAAGCTCTTGCAAACGCGAAGCGTCCAACACAGACTCGACAGAAACCTTTTCAGGCGGTTAGGAAAAGTCCTTCGCTTATCCGGTTCTTACAAGGTCCCAAACCCTAGGACCCGAAGCCTTTCAAAAGGCGCTTGCGGAGAGCCTACCGGAGACCTTGGCGGAGCTGGAGCTACACTTTGTGGGCTGCGTTCGCCTCAACTCTTCAGGCCTGGAGCTTTGGCCTCTGCAAGATGTTCTTGGGGTTTCGATAGGCTGTTTGATAGGGGGTTTAATCGGTTTTGACAGGGTTTTAAAGGGTTTCATAAGGATGTTCGAATCGGGTTTGTACATGTTTTTTCATAGAGTTTGTAAGGCTGTGTAAAATTTGATCTTGTTTGTTCAATCTGGCACTAGAGGCTGTTGCAAACGGGACAAAGAGCAAAGTGAACGGGGTGAATGCAAACGGAACAAAGACAGCAGGCAAAGATAATGAACGAAGTGCAAGCACGCTTGTCTCTTTTGCGTTTGTGTGTTTGTCCTTCATTTCTTTCGTGTTTTGTTTAAACTCACGGGTCAGGAACTTCATTAACTTAGAGCACTTTGTTCCGTTCTGTTGGCTTCTTTAACGTAGCTCTTTTACCACTGTATCCTCCGGTGGAAATCTTGTTTGTTCTGTTTCAAAGAGTTAGTGAAAGAAGATAAACGTAGAAACTGCAGGCTTCTTTCATCTAGCTGAACAAAGCACCCCACAAAATCTTGGACAGAAGGAGAAATGCCCTGAGAAGATGGATCCATTAGACATTGGTTCAGGAAGAGACACTCTGTCATTGTTAACTTACCTGAAGTGAATTGTTCTGTGCGCATTTTAGTAAGGACATGTAACAAAACATATTGAAACGAAGATTGAAGAGAGGCGCGAATTGCTTTTTCAAGCACTAAATATGAACGAAGCAGTAGATTCTGAAAGACCGGGTGCCTGTGTTAGTTGCAAACAAGCGCGCCTCGTTCATTCATGCTTCGTTCACTGCGTTGTATTGTGTAAATTGAAAAAATTAGCCCACAGTCATTCCATGATCAGACCAATGCTTTACGTTATGACATCTGGATCTGTTGCCTCTTCACGTTTCAGTCAGCAGGAGTCATTCATCGTTCGTGGCTGTGTGGTTTGTTGATGAGAAGCATGCATTTCTTTCCCCCGCTTGTTTTCTTTGCATTTAGTTAAGTAGTGTTAAGTAGACCACACATCCATTGCCTGTGTCTCTAAGAGTTACAGCCAGGATGGGAGAATGAAGGGAACAAAAGACCCACATGCAAGTATAGCACGGCAGAGCACCTACCGACAACGATGTAAAGAGCAAGTGTAAAACAGAATAGATATGGCTAGTATTGGCGAGTCCTAGAAAGGTGGTACTGAGTCAGCCTATTATACGTACAGCTACAGTGGCTATCCGGATTTACCAACAACCCAACACCCCAAATTCCTAAACTCTGAACTCTAAACGTAAAACGCAAAGCCCATTTGCCAAGAACCCGAAACCCAAGCCGAAAACCTTAAACGATATCACCACTAAAATCTGAGCCCTCCACCACCGAGGAAACTTTGAGCAACAAGCTGCAGCCTTTGCAGTTTTTGCGCGTGCTGCCCGGCTCGGTTCAGGGGTTGTGATGAAGCTCTCAAAGGAGCGAAGCCTGACTAGCATCCGGCACATGCGTATCTGGGGTTGGCATACTGGAGATCGGGGAACTGCCAGATTTCATCCCAAAGCCCCGAGCTCACCCCAAATTTGGGTTTTCCAGATTTTCGGCACAAGTTTCGATGTTTTTTGCTTAGCTTGGCCTTTTTTGACATCACACGTTGCATGCATCCGGGGTGTTTAGGAGCGTCTTCCTAAAGCTGTTCGAATGATAGGGAGCCCGAAGCCCCGTCATCTACAAAGGTGGCCGACCCTGTGAGCACCTCCCACATGCTCGAAGGCTTAAGAGCCCCAATTCAAGATGCCCCCAGCACCCGAAAACCCTCCTACAGCTCTCAGCCCCGAAACACCCTAAGCCGCATTCTCCATACCCACAAAAGCCCTATACGCTCTAAACCCTACACCCCAGACCCCAAACCCCAAAGAACTCTCAGGGTGAAAGTGACCTACGCCGGCACGCGCGTGAACCGGAACTTCGCGAGCCGAGCGGAGCTTCGGGCTTTCGTCTCGTGGCTCGGATATCATATTATATCATTCGTTATATGATACATTAATACATTATTGTTAGTATTACTGTTCTATTATTCTATTATTGTATTAAGTTACGTTCTTACATCTTGTATTGTGTTGTATGTGTGTATTAGGGTCTACGGAGGTCTGGCGGAAATCGAGGGCAGTGCGGTAAAGGGGCGGTGGGGGCTAGGTTGTAGGGGTTGGGGCTTTAGTTGGGGGTTCAGGGGTTGCGGAGGTTGTAGGGCTTGTTGCTGATGCTCCTGCTGTAGCAAGTTAGTGGACGTGCAACATCATGATTCCTTGAAGAAGCCCACTTTGGGCCGTCCGGTGTTGAGGGCTGCGACCGCCCATGGACCTTAAGCCTTAAATCCGAAACCATATTGGATCGACCAAGTGAAAGGCTGAGACGGTCGCACCAATCGTGCTTACGCGAACCGTACCGGTTGAGGTTGTTTTCGGAGACCAGCGCGAGCCGGGGACACCAAGACTTTAAGTCTGAATGCTCCCAAGATCTGCAAGTAGCCACACTTTAAATCAGCTGCTTGTGTTCTTGTTCTACATCGGTATGATTCTGTAAGTCCCAGCGCTTCTGTCCATGGGTATTTGGGGAAGCAAAGTTACACCCGAGTTCCGAGCCATCAAAAGGTTAGACTGTCTTTCTCTACCACGACTCTGATGTGCCAGATGTCCTCTTGCATGCCGAGGTTCGGAAGTTGGATGTCAACGGAGCATACCAGCGCGATGCATAGAGTTCTTTTTCGTTTCTGAAGATTCCGAGACTTTTGGGGGAAGGTCCCAAGATGTTCGGAGCTTTGTGCTTGGTGTGGGGTTCAGCACGAACCCAAAATCACCTGGCATGGTTTTCTGAGTCGTCCCCTAACTTGGCGATTCAACTTTGGACCCAAGCGGACTTCGAAGAAGTTCTCCGTGTTGCAGCTGCGACCGTCGCAGACATCGACGCCTCGGTGACATGCCTTCGACCATGATGGGTTTCATAGGCTTCAGGCTTGAGGATTTAGCATGTGCAGGGATGTACGCTTAATGAGTTCAGGGGTTAGGCTTGGTTTTCTTGCGCATGCTTGTGGGAAACCGGTACACCCAACTGGTCCGAACTGTAGCCCTCAACTATCCTGAACCAATACCATGAACCCCGGACTCGGAACCGTTGGAGTTTCAGGATGTGGGGTTTCGGACTACGGCTTCACGACGAGGGAGTTCAGGTTTGTTGATTGGTACTGGCCTCAGGGTTGAGGCGTCAAGCCTGAACCTCTCCCCATCTCTGATGCCCTAACTTGACCCTTAAATTCCCTGGACTCTCTGGGCCTCCAGCCGAAATCCTCAAGCATGGAGCCCTCAACGTCTGCACGCGACTTTTGGGTTTCAGCTTAAGGGTTCAGGGTTCAACATGGTTCAACGTTTAACTTAGTACCCGGCCCTAAACCCTAAGCCCTAAACCCACACTGTATCTAGGCGTCAGGGTTTAGGATGTTTTTGGTGCAGCCCCTGATTCCAAGCATCGGTCTCCGAAGCACCACGTCAACCCTGAGACCAGGGCCGGCTAGCCATTTGGGCCCCAGCAGAGCAGCGGCGTTCTTGCGGGCTTCGTGCCTGGGGTTCTGGGTCATTTAGGGTTTAGGGTTTGGGGTGCTGGGTCATGTAGGGAGTAATACAGAGGTCTGAAGCATCAGTAGCAGTCCCCATATACTTCGTGAAACACTGTCATGTACGGCGAGTCCTCCTTCTACTGAAACTTGCCCTACCTTGGGTTGGATTTCTGTTGGACTGATTGGGTGGATTTTGGTTTTCCGAAGTTTAGTGATGCCAGTGCCGAAGTACCCACCGGATGGTGATCCTGTCACAGAGCAGATCTTGGAGCGACTCCTCCACAAGCCGCCAGGGTGAAGATTTACTTTTGGGTTTAGAGTCTACGATTTAGGGTTGGCAGTTTAGGATGTAGGGTCTAGGCTTGTCCCAAGCGCCAAACTCTCGCTTGGAGCTTTATTTCGGTTCATGCTTCGTTTGCAGCTCCTGTTCTGAGGCATCGGGGCCTTTCTCGTCTCGTAAGTTCGAGGGTTTCGCTTGGGTTTTTGGATTGGCGGTCTGGGGTTTGAGCTTTCAACCTAGGGCTCTCAACCCTTAACCTCAGATTGCTTCTCTTGGTGTACCCCATTGTAACCCTTAACCTCAGATTGCTTCTCTTGGTGTTCTATCTTAGAGGGCCTAGAGCCCTGAACCCCGGGAGCCCCCCCAAACCCTAAACTTAACCCTAAACCCTAAGCCCTAAGCCCTGAGCCTGAGCCCCCAAGAGCAAGGCAAGAGGCAAAGCTGAAGAGTCACTTCGATCAATCGGTGCAGCAGCTGTTGGCCGGCCTCTCAGGGACGGCGAACCTGTCGTCGCCGCACCAGGACGCGACTGGGGTTTTCATGATCGTTTTCTGACGATACAGGATTATTCCGCTGGGGCTCTTGATGGCAAGTCTCGCACTAATTTGGGTTATTGTGGACAGGAACCTTAACAATTGCTGAGAGGGCTTGCCCCAAGACACTTGTGGCGGAATGCATCAATGTATTGTTTTTTTTGGAGGCCCTGACATCATTCATTGAGGCCCGGAGCTCCAAACTGCAGAACAATCCGAAAACCTCATCTTGAGTTCGATCTCCAGCGGAGCTCGTGTGTGAGGATTTTGCGGTGCAGGAGGACGAGCATGAGATAAGCCTCCGTGATGCGATGCCGCCTCATTTGCTGAGCGTCGTCGAGAAAGTTCGGGAAGAGCATAGTCAAAAGCAGAAGCCCAGCCAGAAGAGATGCTCGGCTGAGAATTGTGCTAGTTTCTCAAAGGTGTACATACAAGGGACTTGCTGATGATCCCACAGGCATGAAACCCAAAGCGACTAATTACCTGAGTTGCCCGGACACATTTTGCCTTGATGTGTCCCAGTTCCGGAGATCAAGAACCCGAACCCCAAAACCTGAACCCTAAACCCTAAACCCCTAAACCCTAAAGCCCTCCTCACTTCCCAGGCCATACCAGACAGGCCACTTTGGTTCTCTCGGAGGCCATCCACAGCCCCACAGCGATACGGCTAAAGGCCACGGCCCGGCTTGAGCGAAGTTTTCAGGGTGTTGGCTTTGGGGGTTTAGGGTTTAGGGCTTTGGGGGTTTATTGGTGAAGGGTTGGGGTTGAAGTTTTGGTTGACTGGGGTTTAGGGTGCTGGGGTTTCGGGTTTAGAGCAGGGGGTTTACGGTTTAGTGTTTCTGCGTGCGTGACGTTTAGGGAGTTTGGGTCTCGGGTGTACAGTTTCGGTGTTTAGGATTTTCTTCGAAGGTCGCGCTCTGGAAAGCACGATGTAGTGTGAAGATGTACCTACCGCAAGACGACGCAAGCACTGAATACTACTCGCAGCCAGCCTGAACGAAGCCACACCTGGCCGAAGCAGTTAACAGCAAGCACATGCGAACACGCGCTAAGCTTTTGGAAGGCTGCATTCCAGATTTCGATAGTCTGCACACGCCCGGCACCAAAGGATGCTCGAGCTGTAGAGCAACGCAAGACAGCGGGGAGTTCAAAGCAGACGCGCATCGACCGCCGGGTACTGGCCGTGCAGACCACCAGCATGAAAGCTTGTGTCACGCATGAACTCCAACTCGGGTGCGCTTTATTGGCACCCAACTGAAGCGGCAAACTTGCAGCCTCCACCCGTGATCTGGAAACATGCGCAAATTCCTTCCTAACTTCCGTTGCGTTTCGGCAAAAAGCGCACGCTCTATGGCTGTCCGAAAGCCACAGCAAAAGCTTAAAGGCACTTAAAGGTTCACGACGAGCACATCGAAAACCTGCAATATGCAGCAGAGCCGCTCACTAACATCCTTGCACACCGACTGCAGAAACCAAGCTCCGGGCTTCGGGAAGCGGGTCTAGAAAGGGCCAGGACAGCTGAGGGTTTCGGGATTTGGGGTTGGTCATCCGCTGCGGTGATGACGATGGGGGTATCCCTCAGCGTTGAACCCAAAAGTGCGAGAGCGCTTCTAAACTCAGCCATCCCCAGGCCCTGCGAGTCAGGGTTTCAGGGTTTAGCGTGTGGTCGAGTTTAAGGCTCGCTGTGTTGATCTTCGGGCTTCGTTCTTCCAAACTGTGGTATTGCCTACACGGTCATTCCTAAGCCCTAAGCCGCAGGTGCTGCGTTTCGTGGCAGAGACTTACGAGTACGTCGTGGACGTGCTGGTCCTTGCTTATGCTATCAGCTTCTTTCCTTCCAACAGAATTGTCGAGCTTTTTGGGTCTATGCACGCCAGAAACCTCAGAAGCCCAGACTGAAGCACCCTAAACCCTAAACCCTATCCCGAAAGCCTGAAGTTTTTCGCTCTCTGTCGGGAGAGTAAGGTCTTGGCTTCGAGATCGACTTCAAAACCAGCTATCGACAAGAGCCCTCCTGGGGTCACACAGCCTCTGGGTTGATGACCTCAGGTTTGATAGTGCTTTCGATGGTGTGTTGATAGGTTTAAGGAAAATACATTGAGCTACTACAGTACGGGTGTATATGTACATATAGACCTGTATACCTACATGTACACATTTACATACTCATGTACATCAACCAGCAAATAGGCTTTGCGGAGATTTCGTATTGTGGTAGCTTAAGTTAGAGTTGTCTTTGGCAACAGCCCAATGGCCAAGGTGGAGCTGTCGTTCTGCATCATCTTTCTGTGCGACCTTCTCGTGAGGATGGCTTTGGCCAAGAGGCAGTTTTTTACAGGCAGAGGGCGGTGGTGGAATCTTCTGGATACCGTCACCGTGGTCCTGTTTGTTGCGAAGTTCCTGGTGGCCTCGAACAGCTTACTGGAGAATTTGTCGTCTGCTTTCAGGATCCTGCGCATGGTGCGCCTTTTTCGAATTCTGTGGGCTTTGCGGGTGGGCCTCGCGCATTCCTCACAACTCCGACAGTTCCGCATACTGCTGGAATCTCTGTCGGAAAGTATGAACCTTGCTCGTTGTTTGGTACGCTCATGCTGCTTTTAGAGGGGGGGCCCCAGGGGCTATGTGTCCCCTATAGAGCTGGAACCTCGAGTCAGTCTCGAATCCTAATCCAGGCCATACGCCCCTTATCCTATCGGCTAAGATAGAGTCCGCAGTATTCGATATTCCGGCGGCTTGAGGAATGTTTTATTTTGGCTTCTGATCCTGATTTGTGGCAACGTGTACATCTTCAGTCTCGTGCTCACGGAGGGTATTTGGCGGTTGTGTCCGAATCCTCAGACCGAGCTCATGTGCCACAAGTTTGGAACTTTGACCAACTCTATCATGACCCTTCTCCAGATACAGTACAGTGGCTTCCTTTGGGGCATCTGGGTGAAAGTGCGGGATCCGTTGTTCCCGCTTTTGTTCTTTTCGGTTCCTGGAAGAATCCCCTCCTTTTACTAGAAATATAAATATAAGAAGCGTTCAGAGTTTAGGGATTGCCGTCTACCCAGGCTCGTTGTGGGACGAAATCACGACCCTGCCCTGGTTGATAGAAGCTACCTTTCTCACCTTCGTGGCAGTGTCGCTGCCTCTTGCTTGGGACTGGGATGGCTTTCACTGCCACACCCTAAGCCCCAAATCCCAGACCGTATGTAAGCCTTTGGCACGACAGCACAATTGATCATCGAGGTTCCAAGTTTGCATGTGTCCTTGATGTCTACAATAATATCAATAATAATAATAACAATAATACTCAACAAACAGTATATTGGGGAGTCTTGAAGAAGAGCATTGGGCTTTGGCACGTCTGGGCTTCCCGTCTGGGGCTTAGCACTTTGGGTTGAAGGTTTGAGGTTCTAGCCTGCAGTTTGGGGTTCGAGGTTTCGCGGTTTTGGGCTTTAGACCTGTATGAGCCGTGATTCTGGGGTGTCCTAGATTGTTGTTGGTCTTGATCAGTGCCGCGGCCCTACCCAAACACTGATCCATAAACTCGTAAAATCCGCATCATCAGCTTCTTTGAGTGTCGACCAGCTGATGTAAAACACCTGGCACCAGAGAGCCTAGGGCCCAAGCCTCAAACCCGAAGGACGACTCTTCGTCAGCTTAGGCTGGTCTTGGCGAACACCATCACCAGTTTCATTTGCAGTCTGCAGACCATCGTTTCAAAGAGGGAAAGAGATCTGCTCATTGACAAGGAGCCTAAAGCCTAAAGCCTGCGCCCTAAGACCTAAAATCCTTAACCTTCAAGTCATGAAAAGCTAAAGCCAGAGCCCACTCTCTTCTTTAGTCCCTCTAAGCCCTAAACCCCGACTCCAAGCCCAAAACGCGAAGCAATTTAGATTCCAAACCCTAGGCTGCCCGCCAAAAAAGCTTAATCACCGAGCCCTCCCCCATCCCAACAAACATCAGCGACCATGTAAGCCCGAAACCGTAACACCCTAAAACAGACCTAATCCCCAAGACGCAGGCCTGCGCGGCTTAGGGTTTCAAAGGAGGATTTTGGGATTTCGGGTTTAGGGTCCTTTTATAGGGTTTAGAGTTTCATGGTTTTGGAGCTGCAGCACTTGGCAAGATGTTGCTTTCGGCCCCCGTGTATGGTCAATCTATTGAAGTTCCTTCCCAAAGCCTTGGGGATTCACTGTCCTGGGTTTGGAGTACCATATATACTAGAATACTATTTTTGGTGCCTGTTCCTTAAAGGAACCATTATGAAATAAAGGTCTGTGCGTTTTTCTCCCTGGTTACTTCAAAATCCAGAGGTTCAAGACTCTTCCGATCGTATCTTGTAGGATCTAGGCTGTCGGCTGCGTTCTTCGGCCGCATGGGAAAAGAGACCCTGAATCCGACTTATAAGCAATGAAGGAGCTGGAATACAACGAGAAGCTGGTGGAGCAGCTTTACAACATCTTCCATGAGCTTGACACGAATGGCAATGGCGCGGTCAGCTGGACAGAGTTCCAGCTGGCTCTGCAGGATCTTCCATTGCTTTGCCTGCGCGTGTCAGGGTGCAGGGTTTCGGGTTCAGGGTTTTGGGGCTTTCGAGAAACAGGGTGGAGTTGGAGAACTGTTTTTGTAGATCCTGATGGGATTCTGAAACTTCAGGTTTGCAGGGCGGGAGGCGGGAAAAATCGCAGGCAGGCCGAAGAACGTGGTGACGGTGGTAGGATGTAATTCAACGTGTGGATGGTAGCGGCAGATAACAATAGGACGGCACCTGCTTTATTTATGCTTGATCAGAAAAGTCAATGGTTGCATGTGTGTCGGCGTGTGTTGCTATACTTTCAGTTCTAGCAGAGATGATGGTAACGTCCTCGTACAGCTTTTATGACAGCTGCGACGCATCTCGACGGCGGCGCTGCCAATAGCGTCATCGTCGAGAAGCCTTTTAACCCCTGTCCCCCACATATCTAGCTTCCCACAACTCAAGAGTCGACTTCTCGGGCGCTTTCAGGTGGACATCGGAATTCGTGGATAGGGTGAATCATGTCTGTGCAGTGTTTTCGATCTCCAGGGTTACACCAGGACGAGCGGATGCACGCGTTCTTGAGCACCTTGGAGCTGGACATGTCAGATGCGAAGAAGATTTTTCATATCCTCGCCTCAGAAGAGCTGCAGGGCCTTTCCTGGAAGATTTTCAGGCTTTCGCATAGTAGCATAGTAGGGTGTGAAAGCAGAGCCGACATCATGTCTAGCCAAGGACAAACGCCATCGAGGAGTCCGACTTCTTGCTGGGTTGCTTGCGCATGCGAGGAGGTGCCAGCGGCGTCGACATGGTCCGGATCATAATGGAACAGGAGTGTCCGGGTCAGAGCTCCACTGCCGAATCGTCCTAAGCCACTTGGCCCCAGTAAGCCTTGGTCGCTCGACAGCCACGACAGGAGTGGATGCACAATGCTATGGTGCAGACCAGGACGATGCTGCACAAGATCACGAGGCGGGTGCTTCACACGTAGTATGAGATCCTAAGCCAAGTGTACCCGCAATCGTGAACAACGCCTGCGTGACCTTCAGCTACTACTGGACGTGGGGTGTGTGTCCCAACTTCTCGTGGTAAACGTCAGAAAGTTGGATCATGCGTTAGGGATGCTCGCGTGGGTGTTATATTTAGGCTATATCTGTGGGGCATGATGAGACTGATGTGTTGTCTTTCTCTCGGGTGTCACCGTAGGCCAGAAGCCCTAAGCCCTCAAAGTCAAGTTCTCAGGTAGACGGGGCTACCATAATAATGAAACCGTACTATTTACTATAGATGCCTACTATGGTACCTAGTAACTTAACGTAAATTCTTTAACAAGAGCCCACCCAGCCTAGGTTTCTAGCCACGGAGCATCTTGCCAGTCAAGACGTTCGCAACTCGCGGGAGCAGGCTTGATTCGGGGGTGAAAGGCGGCGGTTCAGGGTTATGGATCTTTTTGTCAGACTTGGGGCAGGGTTGCTTTTTGAGGTTCTGGAGTTCGTACTTGGCGTCAAGAAGGTCGTGGAATACTTTACGACATTGACTGTACCGTTGAGCTGTTTTCGATAGAAGGGGGTCTTGTTGATGGCTGCCTCGACTCGTGCTCCAAGCGGCTATGCCAATGCTTTAGTTAGTTGCTCTACAGTAGCATAACGTCCCTGTCATTAGTCATTCATGGCATCGTCACTTGTCTGAAGCCACACAGCAGCTGCGTCCATCGTGGGTCGCGGGCCCCTTCGTCGCAATACGTGGATAAGATACTCTCCGACCTTCCTACCGTACAATGGAAAATCCTGAACCGGAGGAGCTCCGAGCCGACAGCTCGGAGTTCTGTCCATGAGACCATAGCCAGTGCTGGATTGCGGACGGGGCAAGATTGCCGCACATGTATTCTACGTGAGAGCCTGCCAAGCCCAAGTACATTCGGACCCGCTGAGAAGATGGAACCGCCTTAGACCCAATCAAGCTCGATCTCGTAAGTCCTGGACACCATTACTGTGAGTCCCAAGCCTGAAACCCGATCAGATGTCGGAGACTTCAAGCGTCGGGAATCGTGGCATCGATAGCTTCGATCCAGACGAGCCTTTCGATGAGGCTGGCTTCGAGCTGATTTTCAGGCTTTGGCGTCTTTCAGGGTTACGCACAGGGCTTGCAGTTTCTATTCGGGTTGAATGTTGCTTGAGGCCGCTTGATCCTTGAGCCCTTAGGCACCCTGTGGAATGCAGGCCACCGTCATTCACCGATTCGAAGACGATGTCGAAGACACGCAGATCCACGCGTTTCAAAGGAGCAGCCTGCTGCCATGGCAGCGGGCGGTCACGCTGCAGGACGCTTCGGGAAAGAATTCGAAGGATGGGTGGTAGTTCAAGAGGCGAGCCACGGGTCGATGTCAGAGTCATGTAGGCATCCCACAAGAAGGCACGCTGGTTCTGTTTTGGTCTGTTGGCCCACAAGTTTCCACTATGGTGGAAAGATAGGTAGGTAGACAGAAAAAAGATTGGTAGGTAGATAGATCGGTAGTCAGACAGACAGATAGACAGACAGATAGACAGACAGACAGATGGACAGGTGAACAGGTCGACAGATAGATAGACAGATGATAGACAGATACGGGTTCAGGGTGCTGTGGGTTCATGGTTTAAAGATTCGGAGACAACTTGGCAAGACTGTGTGAAACCCTGAAAGATCACACAAATCCCTGCAAGAAGGAGCTCCTCACGATTCGCAGCGACCTTCCCCGTCTGTGCAATGGCTGGAGGAGCGACATCGACAAACGAAACCTGCCTCATGGAACCCCAAACTCCCCCAATCCGGAAGCCTACCAAGCGAGGAGTGAACGCACTGGCCACCATCTGGTGCCCGAGAAGACGAACCTGCACTTCAGCAGACATGCTCATGCTTTGAGGGTTCCGGACGTCTCGGCCCAGACAAACTCAAGCCACTTTCGTTTAGGGTTAAAGGGAACTCCAGAAAGTTGGCATATGGATTAATGGTAGGATATCCCCTATAACTTACCTTAAAGGGGTTACGATAATGATATTCCAGCTTTCTGGCTTCTACTGTAAGCCCGTAGGCCGTGATCCCCACTTCCGAAACCCCGAAGGGCTTGAAGCTTTAATGTGCAGGGTTGGGGTTTTGCGATTGAAAATTTGGGCAGCAGCGATTCAGCTGGGGGCTTTCAAGAAAGTAGGGGTGTTCGCTGTAGGCGTTGCTGCTTTCGGGTTTTTGGCACGAATTGACGCTGATCGCCCAGGTACGACTTCGTGTCTTGGCTGCTGTTGACGGAGAATGGGGTTGCAACACTATGACTATGACATCAGATAAAGCCCTAGTGCTCGAAACCCTTGTCCCAAACGTCTTAAAAAAATCATGCCAACAACACAAAATCTGAATACCAAGCTGCCCTTGCCCTCCTCCCCCAGGCTTGTGAAGATCCCGCGTTTAGGGTTTAAGATTATGTAGGTCCGTGGTCTATACTTGGGATTTGTATCTGAAGGGCTGCACATAGGGATGCTTATTCGGGCTACGTCAGGCAGTATTAGGAACACATGAAGAGACCACCAGCCTGTTCAAAACAGATAGCAAACTGCGCGGAAGGGACTAGAGAATCTGACCAACAAGTAGCAAACCGCTCTTAAGGGACTGGAGAATCTGACAAACATGTAGCAAACCGCCCGCTCGAAATGGACTGAGAATCATACCAATGGGCAGCAAACCTTTGGAAAGGGATTAGAGAATCTGACCAGCAGGCAGCAAACCGCTTGCAAGAGACTGGAGAATCGGACCAACAGGTAGCAAACCGCTGGAAAGGGACTAGAGAATCGGACCAACAGGTAGCAAACCGTCCCAAAGGGAAAAGAGAATCTGACCAACAGATAGCAAGACGCTCGAAAGCTGGAGAAACTGACAAACCACTCGAACGGGACTCGAGAATCTGACCAACAGGCAGAGTCTGGAGAATCTGACAAAACAGGCAGCAAACCGCTCGAAACGGATCAGAGACTATCACCAACAAGTAGCAAACCGATCGATGGGGACTAGAGAATCTGACAAACAAATATTGTAAAGGTCGGTGGTCGCCCTGCCTGGGGTGTCTGTCTTAAGAGACTGTAGATGGGGAGCCTTACTCGGGTGATATTAGGCAGTACTAGGAACAGTAAAGAGACCACCGGCCTGTTTAAGTTTCAGGTTTCAGGCTTTTGGAGTTTAGGCGATTTTGAGGCTTTTCGGTTTTTGGGTTTCGGTGCCTCGGCCTTCCACCCTAAACCCCGGCCGCCACCCCTCAACTCCGAGGCCTATCACTACATCCTTCCGCAGACAACGCCTCCGCAAGGGCTTTGGCTCCGTCTCTGCTGGGATGCGGCCCGCTCGCCTCCGGCTGTGGGCCAGCAGTTGCTGCAGGTGAGATACCGTACTTTGCGATTTTTAGGTTTCAGGTATCTTGATGCTTCGTAAGTCTAGCTGAGGGCTCAAGTTCAGGGTTTAGAGATGTTGGGTATTGAGGGTTTCGGGATTTGGGGTGGCATGCTGATGAACCGACTAGGCAACCTGTCACTTAACCAGTTTGAGGCAGTTTATCCTACATTATCCCGCAACAACAACCTTCAGTCCCCTTAGAAGACAGGACACGGGACTTGTTCCGGTGGGAGTCGGTGGGAGGGGTGAGGATATGGGGCTTGGGGGGCGGGGGGGGATGGAGGATTTCGGGTTTGGGGTCTTTTACCGTTCAGGGAAGGCGTGGCATATGCCATTTGGGGTGTGGCGTTTGGGGAGGGTTTGGGTTTTCGGCTTCGGGGTTTTAGGGTTTGGGAAAGGTTTGAGATTTTAGACGGAACGAAAGATTTACCTTAGGGGCCTTAATGGTTACCTATGCTACTTTGGGTAGACCCAAAGCCCTATTCAGTTTATTAAGGCTCCTATATCACGTCTCTTGAATTTCAACGCTGTCGATTGCCGTCCACAACGTCGTTTCTCGCGAGGGCTCTTTGTCTCAAGTACCCATGATGGGCAGAGGTTATAATATTGCTAGAGGAAGACATGCGACCACCGAAAGACATCTCAGCCATGACCACTCTACTGCAAATTCCCTGGACCCCTCAAACTCCAAAATTTCACTCCTGGATCCTAAATCCCAAAGCCCCAAACTTCCAGCAACGTGTAGCTAACCCTGCGCCCCTAGACCCCAAAGCCCCAAGCTCTAAAAAACCTCCACAGCGAGCCCACAGGTGTCCGAGGACACTTCGCTGCCCAAGGCCGTTGCCATCATCTGCCAGGTAGAGGTGGCTGGGCTCTTCTTAGTTTTGCATGAATATGCTTTTTTGCGCTACAGCTGGGTTTAGTCTGGGGTTCTTGTTCAGGAGCTGAGCCTCTCGTGTTCTATGCCACTTCGCAGGGGCTCTTCGATAAGCCGAAATCCATGGTTCTGCCGTAACTTAAACAAATTCAGGTGACAGAGTTGCAGGACGAGAACGACGGAAGGTCGTACTTGGACCTGCTCGTAGACCTGATACTCGGCTCCAATAGCAAAAGTCATGCTAAGCCCGTGGCCCGAATTGTAGACCTCAGACATCCTTTTACCCTACTTAAGCTCTGATTGATATACTCCCCTCGCTGAATCGGAGGAGATGTGCATCGAACTCCCCACCTAAAACAGCGGGAGAGCTCCACTTCGGTGACGTAGGTTTATTTTGCAGAACACGTCCGTCCTTCTCAAGCTTCTCACATCCCTATAAATCCCTGAATCCTGAAAGCTGTGGATCTATGAGAAGCCAGGAAGCGCGGACGCTTCCTGACTGGTCCGAAGGCTCCCGGTCTGTGCCTGGACATTGAGAATGTGCAGAATGGTGACTGGTCGCCAGCCCCTGAGAAGGTCACATGTAATGGTCTCTCCGCGAGCTACAAGGAGCTCTTGTCAACCCAGCCATGCGTTCCGGTGTGGTATTGCAGTCACTGGTGGGGAGAGCCGATTTTTGAGTTCGTGAGCGGTTGCCGGCGCCACGCAGAAGTTCGGCACCTTGTGGTCGACGCACGATACTGGGTGTGTCTCTGCAGCCAAGTTATGGAAGTTCATAACGGCTCTAACCGGCTCTTATAAGAGCTTTACAGGGTTTATCGTATGGGCTTTTACCTACTACTTACTCGTTGGGGAGAGACCTGTTGCAGGATAAGCTTTGGATCTCAGGGTGTCAGAGACTGTTGGATTCTGGCAGCGCAGGTGTGGCTACGCCAATCGCCAGCACGAGCTCGATCAAGAGATCTCAGCTAATATCGTGCAGACATCGTTCTACGCAGCACTTCGCGAGGCGAAGGGTCTCCTCCTGATCTTGGACCCAAAGGCTACTCCTTTCTCGAGGATTTGGTGCGACTTCGAGCTTTACACGGCCATCATGAGTCGTGACATGGGGCTCGACATCGTCACTACCATCCCGCCCAGACATGGGAGCCCGGGTTCTGAAACATTGCAGTTCGGTTTCAGGTTCGGGGTCAAGGGTTCAGGGTTCAGACAGCTCAGGCCATGAGTCCTTTGCGACAAGTCTGCTGCGTAGTTTGCACGCGAGCATGCAGGATTAGAGCTTCAGAACACAAGCGCCAAGCGCTCCCGGAATAGAGACAAATTCCAGCCTCCTTCTTCAAGAGACCACCGAAAAAAAAGCCCTCCTAAGCCGAAAAGCTGCATTTCAGAAGCCCCGCAGATCCCAGGAAAGAAGCAGAGACGCGAATGTTGAGCAAGGACTTGGTACCTGGCGATTCTGAGCTCTGCAATTTCTGACAGCTTTCTATGTTCGTCATTGGGTCTGCATAGGTTTCCTGTGGCTTCACAATATTCTGAATTTACAGCATTTTTCCCTAGGCATCGGAGAAGTAAGGAGTCAGCGGTGGCCAAGTCTGTCCGGGAGCAGAATTTCCCCATCAATATTCTGGCTCCGCGGATTTTTTGCGTATGGTTTTAGCTGGTCCATAGGCCACCCGGGTCTGAGTTGGACGGTTCGGGTTTAGGGTTCGAGGTTTCTGGTGTAAGATTCGAGCTCTGAGCTTTAGGTTTTGAGGTTAAGGGCTTACGATAACAGCCCGAGCTGAGGCGCACGGGTTGGAGGTCATGCTGGAGAATGGCATGGCCACCCAGGCCTTCAATGTGGGTTGACTCAACCAATCACCGCCAGATGGAGCCTAACGTTCTGCTCGCAAGCGGTTACCGGTGGTTGAATGTGTAAGGTCGCACGGAAGGTCAGCGAAGCGATTTCAGACAGACCGGGTTTTGCTAGTGCTTCGAGCTCCAACGAAGAATTGAGGTCCAGCAACGGCAGCATAGTTTTGCAGTAGCGTGCGATTCACCGAGATGCGAGTGTTTGAGACTAGATTGAACCCTTACTCAGCTTGGTGTCCCTCCACCTTATGTGGGGGTTGCGCGTAGTGTTTCAACATCTAGCTCGATGGGACTATGTATGCGGGACAACGGCCCTATGCGGCAAAAGGAATTCCCTGCACCAGTGGATGCCGCCCAAAACCTTAGACCCTAAATCCTAAGACCCTTTTATCAACCCCAAATCCTAAACCTTAAGCCCCAACATTCGATTCGCATATCTTCTGACCATCTACACGCCCAGGGTGGGATCAGTATAATCCCGAACCCAGTCGCGAGCTTATTTATCCTTGATGGACAAAGCCCTAAACCCTAAACCCTAAACCCCTGCAAAAACCTTCAGCCCCAATCCGAAGAGAAGCGCAGGTGTCCCTAAACTGTAAGCGCCAAACTCGAAGCAGCCCACCGCTAAAGCCTAAAGCATAAACCTTCGGTAGCAGAAGTTTAAAACAAAGGCCCTAGCAGAACCCTAAACCCCAAACCCAAGGGTGGTTGCCTACAACAAGCAACCTGATCACCCAAACGGGCTTTCGCGAGGCGTCATGCCGAAAAAGGAGCCCTTCAAAGAACACCTAATCCGCAGGAGGAGGACAAGCAGGCCATCCTTGATGCCATCGCCACGGAGCAGTTTGAGCCCGGACCTGGGTAGCTAGGCTCCACTCGAACCCTGAAGAGCCCAGACAGTAGAGTAAGTCAGGGCAACAGGTGTAACAGTAAGACAAGTTTTATAGTCACAGAAGGAGAATCATAACAGTAGGAGGAGGAGGAGGAAGAAGACTAATATTCACAATAATTGCAGTCACAACAATCATTCCAAAGGAATGTAATGTTCATTATGCGACGACCAGTAGTTACAACAGCAGCAGTGATTCTATTGATGCTAAGCCTAGCCGTACTAAAGTAATGGTGATATTCATTCTGGTAAGATTGCTCTTTGTAAACAAGGGCAGAAAGCATCATAGTCCTTACACTCGGCAACCCGGCGAGCCCAGCGCGCCTGAACACAGCTAGATACCGTCTTGAAGTTTCCGGCGCCTGGTTCGCCGAAGCCCTGCCGAGGAAGCCTCAGATCTCGAACGAGCTGCGGGCCAACATGACCCTCCACTCCACTCTCGCCATCCTCGCCTGGCCACAGGCACTTTTGCTGACGTGGTCAGGTTTGAGGTAGGGGGTGTCTGGGTCAGTAAGGTTCGAGTTTGATGGCCCTGCAACTCTGTTGCCGTGTCGCATCTGAAGCCGCAAGCCCAAAGAACCCCAACTCCCTAATCCCGAAGCCTAAACCCTGAGTCAAATGAGCACAGCCACGTGCGCCTTACACCCCCCTAGGCCTAAAAACCACCTCTAAATCCTAAACCCGAAGCCTTGAACTCTGAACACGCTAACATCCTAAACATGCCCCAAAACCCTTGCTGTACCCAGTAAGCCATTTCCAAGAAACGCCCTTTATGAAAAGATTAGAAACCCTGATACCCCCCTGTCCGGTTGAACCATGCAAACAACAATCAGGACCACAACGAAGCACATGCCGATCCTCCAGAAGAACAGACCACAAGAGACACAAGACGCAAAGACATGAAGACACTAAGCCCTCAACCCTAAAGCCAAAGCCCCTAAACCTAAAACCCTGACAACATCACCCCTACACCGTTTAGCCCTAAAGCCCGAAAGCCTCATGCCCTAAATCCCCCAAACCCTAACCCCTAATTTCGAATCCTTAACCGCTTAGCGAGGCGATGAACAGGGGCCTTTTGAGGCACGGTGCGGACGACGACGACTTCGATGTCGAAGGAGCTATGGCTTGGGGTTCAGGGTTATGTAGGGTTTAGGGAGTTTTTCGGTGTTTAGGTTTAGGGTTTCGGGTGTAGGGGCTATAAGGGTTTTAGGGTTTAGGGTTTTGCTACGTTCGGATTTACGGTTGAGGGTTTTAGGGTGTAAATTAGGGTTCAGGGTCTAGGATTTTGCGTGCCTTAGGGTTTTCGGATGCTTGGGGGCTGAATGAGGGCTTAGAACAGGGCTTTTGGTTTCAACGTTTTCAGGGTTTTTGCTTGTAGGGTTGCGGGTTTAGGGTTTGAGGTTTTCGGTCGTTTTTCCAGGATTTGGCTGATTTTTCCCAAGGAGACAAGGCACCCTTGTAGAGCCAGTGGAAACTCTTGTTCAGACACGGATAAACACTCGTCTATACCTCTTCAATCCACCATCCCAAGAAACTGTTGCAGGAGCTTTGCGTTCGGATGTTACGAGGGACTCCGTTGAATTGAGCCTAGCGCACTTCGAGAAGACCTGCGTGGATGCAGGCTCAATGGGGGGGGGGGTGTTGTCGGGAGGAGGGGTTGAAGCGGCTGGGTTTTCTACAGGTTTGGGGGCATCTTAGGTGTGATCGGTGGAGCTGCTGGGTATTTTTCTTTGGACTGTGCTTGGGTTGAGATCGCTTGTTTGAAAGGAGTTCGGCAGGTGTCGCTTGGAAAGATCTCGACAGGGTTTACGAGGATTCCGTGGGGGCTTCTCTGTCTCTTGGATTCGGGTTTTAGGGTGTTGGATTCTGTACCTCGGTTTCGCTGCATGACTCCAGCTTCACTTGAAAGGAACTCCAAGCAGTAGTTCCTAAACTGAACAAAGACAAAGGTCCAGGCCCAGCTGCAGTTGGGTCTCGAACCGCAACCGGTCTGATAAGGACAGGCTACACATCTTCACAGCACCATCCGTAACGACCCCGCGTTATGGCCTACAAGCCCTGACCTCAAACGACCGAGAACTCCGAAGACGAGTTGCCAAGTGCCAAGAGTTCCTTCGCCGAGTTCCAGTGTGGCCACCTCCTGACGATCCCATTCATCACAGGGGCACCACACAGCTCGACCGTAAGGAGCTAAGCAGATCCCTGGACATATCGAAGGGTGTCTCATCTTACGTGGACCTATAGACTAGGACCCAGAGTAGGCCCTTATTCCCTTTTTAGAGTTTAGGTTCTCTTATAACCCTCTTTAACCCAAAAAGGGCACCCTTTTTAGTCCTAGGTTACTCCTAGGCCTAGTAGATATTTCAAAGGTCTGCGAGATCCGGCAGACCTGGCGCATCCCACAAACCTTTAGAACTCCGGGTCCCAAAGCCCCAAACCCTGAAGCCTGACTACCCCGAGGCCCCGGTCCTGGACCCCTCCCCCTCCAGAAAAGAGCACACCGGCGAAGGTGTGAAAGTCCTGGCAGAGTGCATTCCTCCCAATATTTCGAACCTCAAGCTGAGTTTCGAAGGCTGCCGGTTTGGGCTGTAGGGCCCTCTAGGGTGTCATGGTGCTTCAAGGCGCCGAAGTATTTTGTGCCACCTTCTGGCAGCTGAAGTTTTGAGTTTTGGGTTCGGCTTTCGTCTTCACTGGTTCTCGGAGCTTACAGTTTGGAGCGTTGGGCTGGGCTTCCAGAACGAGGCTTTGGGCTTTCGGGCTTTGGGGCTCGCAGAAGCTCCTAAGACGGGGGTTGAGGTTCTGAGGGTGAGGAGATTGGCTCCGCTCTAGGGCCCAGGGCTTGCGCATGGGAGGCCTGGGAAGAAACCCGTGCCCCAGAGTCCAGGTTGAAGCGGTTTTAAGGTTCAGGGTTGAGGGTTTAGGGGTACCATGAAATACCGAGAGCTTCCGCCCCAAAATCGTCAACCTCCTGCGGAACCCCAAGGAACAGACTTTCCGACTCTTCAGGCCTCGTACGCCTCTTAAGGAGCCCCAAGTATCAGACAAGAGTCAGCCTCTTTCGCCTAAATCCTGGCTCCTGAGTCGCAGGACGAAGAACAACCGGAAGCCTTTAAGACGTTCTTCTGGCATAGGGGTCCAGGTAGCGGTGGAATAGGTTTTGTGGTCACATGGATAGTTCTCCGACGGAAGGTCCTGTTTTAGGAACCCAAAAGAAGGCGGCACCCACATGCGCAGAACCCGAACAGGGACCCGCAATTTAGGACACTACCCACACAAGTATGTTTGACTGCAAGGCGGGTTTATTCCCCCAAACCCTTGCGCCCCAAAGCCGAAACCCTGAGCAGCACGGCCCGAAAGCCAACCCCCCGAAACCCTTCACTTTTCAATTCTACACAGGCTTCTGTAGCCTTCCGGTCGGGATATGAGCGGGCGGAAAAAGGAGTTCAAAAAATAACTCTACGCAGGCAGGAACCAGTTTGATTTTTCTGGACCAATTCGAGTCAGAGTCAGAGGCTGCCATCAGCTGACCGATGCGTCCCTTCATGCGCTGGCATCCCATCTCCCCAAGCTCAGGACCCTACCTCTTTCAGGCATGAAGGGTTTAAGGGCAAGGGGTTCTGGTTTGGTTCATATCCGTAAGATGTGTACCATACTTGTGTGAGCTTTTAGCGGTTCTGGGGGTTTAGGGTTTAGGGCAGAGGGCGGGGCTGAGGGTTTAAAGTTTAGGGTTAAGAAGCGTGCGACTACATAGTGCTACTTTCGTTTTTTCAAGACATCGTTTTCAATAATGCTGTTCTTTTTGGTGCTGTTGTCGATCTTGGGGTTCACGGTTCTCTGGTTCGATGTTTACAGACCTAAGGCTGTCAAGGTGTGCGTGTTTGTATTGCGCAGTGTTTACGTTCAAGCAGTTCGACTAAACTGGACTAAACTGTTTCTGGTTGCACAAGGTTGGTTGGGGTTTTAAGGGTTCCGGGATTGCTTAGGTTCAGTGCCTTGCCTAGAATGTGCAGAACCTGCTCTCACATAGAGCTTCAGAGAAACACGCGGATCCCACGAACCTCCAGAAAAGGATGGTTTCCTTCAGCATGATCCTGAGGCGAGCGGTGTAGGGTTAAGGAGGAGATAGAGAGTAGGCTGGGGCGTGAAGAGCTCCTTGGACCCTGAACCCTGGGACTGAGAGTCCAGGACTCTCTACCTCGATTTCGTGGGCTGCGAGAACCTGACGGATGTTGGTATGAAGGTGCCATGGCGCCATGGGGCTCCAGGATAGACTCAGATTCGCCTCAGCCCGCAAGGCTAGGACCTTTATCATTATCGTCTTGGGTGTTGGGATGCTCGACTTGTTATGTACAGAAATCTGTGACAAGAGCACCCTCAGGTTTCGAGACTGCCGCCACCAAAGCCCAATCTCGCTCTCTCTCTCTCTCTCTTTCTCTTTGGGTCTGTGTGAAACCCTCCATCACGTTCATCCCAACCCCCCAGGCCTCCAATCTTAAACCCGAAGCCCCCAAGCCCGCAACTCCTAATCTTCAAACTCTAAGCCATACAGCATACAGCACCGTCCGTCTGGGTGTAGGACCCTCAGTAGCTTCCACGATGTTTTTCGATTCCTTGCAGTCTTTTCTCAAAGAGAAATCAAGGCTCCCATTTTCCACCGGACACCTTATCGCGCGCATCAAACCCTTCTTCCTGGCATCGCCTTGTCGAACCCCTTTGACCGAGGCACTCGCAGACTAAAGTCCTAAATCCCGGTGTCCTGACTCAAGTTCGGCTGCAGGATTGTATCCCGGACACTGAAAGACTTCAGAACCATCCAAGCGGTGTAAAAGGCGCTGGCCGAGAGCCTGCCGGAGACCTTGGTCGAGCTGGAGCTCCACTTCGTGGGCTGCATTCGCCTGAACTCCTCGGGCCTGGCTCCTGGGGCCCATTTTTGGGGGTTGGAAAATCGAGGCTTCAATTGTTAGGGCTTACAAGTCTCGAAAAGGTCCGTGGTACAGGGATTTGGTTTTCGAAAAAAGGGGTGTCAAGATCAAAGTTTTACAAGCTTTATAGGGTTGAGAAAGGTGTGGGGTCATTTGGGGGTTCATAAGACGGATAGGCCCTAATGGAATCCTTCATCAGGGTTTTTCCCAATTCGAGTCTATCTCGGCAGGGGAAAGAACTCACCAGACGAAGCTGCAAATCGCCAAATGAACCGATCTCAGCGATAGACGCTAAACCCGACGCGGCGCAGGGTTAAGGGTTTCCTTGAGGCCCTTCTTTTTAGGAGACTCATTAAGGAGAATCATTGTCGAACAGGGGTCGACTCACAAAAGGGCCACTATAGGGGTCTTAGGAGTTACCTGTACAATTTTGCGGATTCCTCATTATAATTACAGTTAAATGGGGCCCAAAACCTTATTATTATTATTATTGTTATTATTATTATTATTATTATTATTATTACTATTATTACTATTATTATTATTATTATTATTATTATTATTATTACTATTATTACTATTATTACTATTATTACTATTATTTTTCTTATTATATTATTATTATTATTATTATTATTGTTATTATTATTACTACTATTATTAAGGCCCCTATATCACACAAGACCACCATGCCCAAACGACCGTACGGCCGGTCCTTGCGTTTGAATCCCAACCCATTGTTGTTTTTCCTTGTTCTTCGGACCTACCACGGCCAAGCATCATTAGGCCCTGGACTCACACCACATGCCACAATTTCTATAGGGTTTATATCTACTAGAATATACCACAATAAACTACAATATACGGCAATATACCATAATATCCTATAATGTACTAGATCCTCTCCACCCTTGCCCAATCTAACCCTTGAAGACAGCAAGGCCGCCGGCTCAGCGTGTGACTCGAAGGGTGTGGGTTCGTTTCTAGGGTCAGGTTCAGTAGACCCAAAAAACCCAAGCATTTTCACCTCCGAGGAAGCTTTGAGCAGCAAGCTGCAGCCTTTGCCGTCTTTGCGCGTGCTGCCCGGTCCGGTTTAGGGGTGCTGATCGAGGCTCTCAACTGACACCCTTTCTCCCAGAGGCAAATCCTAACGAATAGGATCCTGCTCGTGCAAGGTTTTGCGGATTTTTGACATACCAGAATGCTGACATGTGCTCATGTAAGTTTGCCAGAACGGTGTCTTCGGAATGGACGATTTTCACCTTAAAAGCCTTGGACCCTAATAAAAGAATTCTGACCCCAAGTCTTACATGAGGCAGGGCTTCCACAAAGTCACAAAGCAGTCGGCACACGAAAATCTCAACCCTAAAGCCTGGATTCAGACCCTCAACACTGAACGATGAACCCTGGAGCCCTGATACTCGCAACTCTCGAGCTCTGGCAAGCTATTTACTCCAAACCGCCTTCTAATTATTCAGGCCCCTCTACATCCCTTCTAAAATCTTACAGAAGCCGTACAATCCCTCGAGGAAGCAGTACTCGAAAATTTTCCTGCACAGCACCCTCAGGCTTAAGCTCACCTATGCGGGCACGCGCGTGAACCGTAACTTTGCAAGCAGGGCGGAGCTTCGAGCTTTCGTGTGGCGCTCGGTTCTATGGGAGGGTCTGGGGCTTTACGGCAGGGGAGAGGGTTTGGGGTTCTTGTTTCAGGATTTTGGTGTTTCGACCTGAGGAGTTTAGGGTGTAGCCTTCTTTTAAGCTCGTTTTTCGGATTAGGGCTAAAGGTTTCGAGGTTTAGGGTTGAGCATGTAAGGGTTGATCGTTTAGTAGTTCAGGACCTTGGTTCTGAGGCTAAGGGTTTTGGGGTTGGGGGCTTGGTGCGTTTCAAGGGGTTGTTGAAATTTTTCCTCAAGCCATGATAGTGTTGAAATCAGGGTAGTGTGGGTTCACGAAATTTCAGCTTGACGCAATTTTGAAGGTTCATCTCGGCAGGATGGATGCAGATTAAATTCGGCTTAGGGATGGGGGAGCCCGACCCTGAAGATAGGGGCTGGCCGCAGTCACTGCGCTGAAACAGGGCTTGCATCGGTACCCAAGCTCAGTGGGCATGTTTGTGGATGTTTACATTGCCAAAGTCAACTCCGTCTACCAGACCGAAACCTCTGGCTTGCCGAGGTTCGGAAACTGGATGTCAACGGAGAATTCCAGAAAGATGCGTAGATTGTATTTAAGGATCCCCCCCCTCCTCAGACTTTTGAGCTTCGTGCTTGGTCGGCTCAAAGCGGCCTTGGCTTTATCTGCGGATTTAAGGATCAGAGTCAAGTGGACTTCGAAGAAGTCGCACGTCTGAGTCGCGACTGCGATTCGCAAAGCGATGGCGACGCAAGTTCCGTCGGCGTGGCAAAACGTCGACCATGATGGGATATCATAGGCTTTGGGCTGGATGTCCAGTCTGCCGAGTCCAGGGTACAGGTACCCCTTTGCAGAGTCTGCCCCATGCAGGATCGGGTTTGCTTGTGCATGTTTCCAGCGCAAGCACCAACCAAAGTCTAAACCATTCAAGTCTATCGGGCTCCGTTGTTTCAGGGGCGTTGTGGTTTTCAGAGGTTGTGTGGCTTGGGTGTGGGGCTTGTAACTAGACCCGAAACCACGTACCCTTGAAACCACGGCGCCGACGGCCCGTAGCCTCCACCAGGACATTCCGCGTATATCAACAGCACATGCACGTAGGGTCTCGGCAGAAACAGCAGATCGAAAGGCCGCATCTTCAGGCATATGCCCTACACAGGCTCCTTGAGCCCCATGTGAACAGTTTCCATATTTATGAAGCCTGATAGGAACCAGGTTGTGGAAGAAATGCCCCGCCCGACGAAGATGTCGGAGCACGACGGCCGCTCTGATGCACTGGAGCCGGTCACCGAGCGGGTGATGGAAGGACTGCTCCATGAGCCGCTTGGCCGAACCGTGAGCTTCGCGCTTGGGTTTTTACTTGTGAACCGGACCCCTAACCTGTAAAGCCTTACATGCCCCATAAACCCCTATGGCCCTATGGGGCTGTTGCTGAGACCCTTGTTCAACTAGAGTTGCAAGCCATTAGCTCCAAACCCTGAACCCAAAGCTCGAGAAAGACTTGTAAAACCGTAAACCCCACACCCTAAACCTTAAAAGACACCTACACACCTGCCTTCTGAATGCTTGAGCGCTCAGCCTATAAGCCTTAATCCCGAATCCCTAATCTTATCCGTTATCCCTACACCCTAAACCCTAAACCCTAAGCCCGGAATCGCATGAACCTTCCTTTCAAGGCAGGAGGAACGCCTGAAGAGGTACTTCGACTCCTCTGTGCAGCAGCTCTTTGGCTATTGCTAATGATATTAAAAAGAAATTCGAGGTTTAGGGTTTTGGGGTCCAGGGTTGAGGGTTTTGGATTTGGGATTCCGTCTTTGGGTTCAGGGTTCAGGAGGTCCCAGTTTCTTTGGAGTTGAGGAGGGTGTTAAGGGATCCTAGGGGGTCTTTGAGCTGCCTTCGCTTCATGTTTCCGTAAAATAACGGTTTCCATAAAAGGCGGTGGTAGTTTTACTTTACCACCGAAAACAAGGGATATGCATTTACTATAGGGTTCCGATCATGGTAACTCAACATACAGTTCCGTTACAAAAGCCCAGGTTGCTGGTCGGCGTGGCAGCCGGTACAAAGCATCCGTCATTGCCCCAGGCGAGGTTTGTCTTGGGTTGAGCCGTGGAGGGCTTGGGATGTATCGAGGTTTAGGGTTTGGGTTTCGCGGCTTTGGGTTTGGACTGCTGGGGTTTAGGCCTAAGTTCATTCAGAGCGGCTTCAACTTGAGTGCACGCTTTTCTGCTTTTCATCCTGGGCAATGCTCACTTTATGTTATTCAGAAGTTGAAGTTTTGGGTGTGCTCAATGTGTTTTCGAAAGACGGAGCCTGGGAGGACTTGGTGAAGCAGGACTTGGAGCACGATCATGTGCTTAGCCTCCGGGATGCGATGCCCCCGCACTTGGTGAATCTCGTTGAGAAAGTCCGTGCCGAGTACTGTGTCCGTCTCAAACCCGCGAGATACTCGGCTGCCCTGATAGATGGTCTTTAGGGTTTAGGTTGGGTACGGCCCCCACTCAGCAATAGTTGAATGATATTCAGAATATAGATGTATTAGGACCTTCAAAGTAGCCCCATTATAGACTCTCACTGTATGGGGGCAGTACCGAAGGTTTAGGGGTTTAGGGTTTTACTCTGGAGGGATCCTGCCGTTTGGTCCTAAGCCGTATAAGCACCAATCAATGGTGGATTTTTGTTGCACTCGAAGCCCCCGAAGGCTTAAATCCCCGAAGCTAGTTGCTGACAAAGCCTACAGTACAATGAACCCGTATACCCAAAAAGAACCTAAGTCTGATTGAAAAGGCCCCTGCGTACTGCATCATACAACACTTGCAGATTCCTTACCGATCCCTTAAAGGACCCTTGAAGCAGCACGCCGAGTCCAATCATGAAGGCCCCGACCTGATATACGCCAGATCCCTGAGAGATCCCCTAAAAGCCAGGCCCGTTAAATTTTGTACTGGCTCCGACGACCGAAAACCCAAGCCAAACCTTATTTGTTTGGCTCCAAACTGGTATATGCATACATATATATATATATGTACATATGTATGTAGTATGTAATTATGTATGTATGTATGTATGTATGTATATAAATATGTGTAGGGCTCAGATCGCCGGACAGCCGGAACACTGATTGCCCCAAGGCACACTGTTGTGTCGAACAGGAGGCCAACACGGCCGGTAGTCCTCCCTGGCATCGCCATCAACGCCTGCGCCGGTCCAGAGCGCGGAAATCCCTGCGACAAGGCAGGCTCCTGAGTGCTCGAGCACTCCTTCGACTCAGCTCCCATCACGGGACCTGCAGTCGTCAGCAACGACGACTTATGGGCAAGAACGACTGGGGAGGATGGAAAGAGCCAAAGCAGGGCGACAAGTGGTCGCTCTGGCGTGGCTCCTACTCGCCACGTCAACGCCGTGGCCATCACCATGGCAAGGGCGAGGGCAAGGATGGCAAGGACAACCGGAATCGGGAACGTTTCCCCCGGTACGACGCCCGCAGAGCGGACACGGAGGCCGACACTGCCTACATCACGGAGATCCACTCTTCCCACCTGGGGTCAGAGGACCTAGTGGGAGCGCTCCAGGGCCATATCAACTCTGCAAGGAAAGCGGAAGCCCGGGTGAAAGGGCTTCAGCAAGCTCGCAAGAGGAAGGCCGCACAGTGGGCCAGCTACGAGGCAGAGCTCAAGAAATCCTTCCAGAAGGAAAAGGAGCGCCACAAAGCTACCATGGACAAGTTGGAAGAAGACCTGGAGGTGGCCCTAGTGACCGAAGAACGAGCGCGACAAGTGCTTCGGAACGCCTACCAGTCTTCCCAGCGCCCAGACAGTGGACGCGGTGGTGCAGCCCACGATGCCGATCGCGATTGGGACAGTCTGATGAGTGGGCTCCCGGACAACCGCAGCAGCGAATCGGATGGAGCCTTTCTGGCCAGGACCATGGGGACAGAAGGCCGCGCTCCCCGGGGCATGCCTGCAGCGGGACCAGCTCCATCGAACGATGGGCCTCCGGGCCTTACCAGGCACCCATCGCCGGCCATGTCTATGGACCTGGATACACACTTTGGTGGACATCCGGGGGAACTACCTGGGGATCCTTTCGCGGTCTCTCCTCGTACTGCTGGACTCCGTGTGCCGATGGCATCTCCGAAGGACAGGCGACGGGGATCTTCACGGCCCTCTGTCAAAGTACATACCCCGCCACAGACGGATCGACATCGCCCCACTCTTGGGGACAGACTTGCAGAGAGGCGGCAGGACATGATGGCTGCGGGTTTTGGACCTCAGCTGGAGGCGAACACAGCGTCTGCCGAGCCGCCCCCAGGCACCGGACCAGCCCCACACCTCATCGAGGACGACGACAACGAGGAGATCGTCCGCCCCGAAGCACCAGATGCTGGTCTTGCTTCCCTCTCGTGACCCCTCTCAGTCCCGGCTGTCCTGCCCAGTACGGGGAGGGAGGCCCGCTGTGGGAGCCGTTTCCGTCGAGAGAAGATGGTTGCCTTCTCTCGCGGAAGAAGTTCTCCCCCGGCGAAGTGCCCTCTTCTCTTCCTGGACTGGACCCGGCTGGTTGTGAGTGGCATTGTGTACATTTCGGTAACACCGTTTGTGTACAGAGGGTTTGGTGCTGCCCCGGTTCTGGATCTTCCTGTTGTGCCCTACCCGAGGCCCCTTCTGGAGGTGCGATGCCTCCCCTTTTTGCCGACATGACACCTTGCCAGGTATATCCTTTGCTTTTGGATATTCCGACAGGGCGAATGTCTGTCTCCTCTGCCAACCCCATTGCACATTGGGCTTTTGTGCCTCTGGGGATGGCCCCGCCAATCCCTGACACACCCACAGCTCCTGTCAGGTACAGTTTTGGACATTGTCCCTGTTTTGCCGCAGTTCCCTGCAGGGGCCTTTGCCGTGGCGCACCTAAGAGAAGCATCGGTGGTTCTGGGGCTTCCGCCCGCGGCTTGGCCTCCCTGCATTCAGCCCGCACTGGCCGTTCCAGTGTAGTCAGCATGCATTCCTCTGGGGCCCCCCTCCACGGCCCACCCAGTGAGGATCCTCCAAGTTGCATTTGTGGAGCACCTAAGAGAAGTATCGGTGGTTCTGGGACTTCCGCCCACATTGCAACTCCTTTGCGCAAGGAGCCTCCTGCAGACTCCTGCGGTCCTTCTGGCTGGCCATCACCTTTTGCCTGCGCCCTCGACGTCGGGGCACTTGCATGGTCCTGCCTAGCTTTGGGTTTCTTCGGTTTTGTTCTAGTGCGCGCTCGAATAGTCTGGTTTTGGCACAGGGAGTCTGCAGACCCCCACTTGGAGCTGGCTACGCGACAGCATCCTTTGCAATTGCCTGCCGTTGTGGTCTGGGCTGTCGTCGGGACTTCACTTTCCTGCCACGGGCCGAGCTGGAATGATGTTGAAATGCATGCCTCCGCTATCCTCATCTGGGTACCGCTCCTTTTGTTTGGTTGCTGCATGCATCTCTTGCTTGACACACCCACACTGCGACGGTGCCCCGGTCTAGGGCTGGTGAAGAGATGTTTCTCTTGGGCACCATATCGGATGCTGCTGGCCTTTGACCTACGTCCGGCACGAATCCGTCATGAACGGGTTAAAGGCCGTCCTGTCCGGACGCCGGCATTTTCTCATGCTGAGCCGCGCCTTTGTTCCCTTCATTTCTGGTCGACATGCATGTTGTTCCTCAATCTGCCTGTTCCTGTCGAAGCTGGATGGTCTGGGCTCACGCCAGGCGTCGTCTGCCTTGCCATGCACCAACCGGACAGCGTATGGGCCATGGTGCGACGTGGCCACGGGAGTGGTTCTGATGATCCTCAACAGGTTCGACCCCATCTCATCCCACCAGAGGACCTCATTCCAGAACACGGGGTCTATGCGGTCAATCGCCCTTGGTTTTGGCAGCATGATCAGGCCACACTTGGGCCGCGACTTCGCCTTGATCCGCTTCCTCTACGAGCCTCTTCTGATGCCGTGTCTGAAGATGGATGGTTGGGGGTGTATGTTTACACCCCTTATTATCAAACTGTTACGGCTGCGGTCAGGCCGACCAGCAACCGGCCACTGCAGGAAGTCAAAGACATCATCAGAGACAAGGTTCCAGGGGTTCCACAGGATATCTTCGAAGTCATAGTCCCTCTTCGCCCTCAGAGGTTTGCAGGATACGGTTCTTTCATTCGGTTCCCTGACATCATCCGTCACCAAGGCCCGGATGGTCATGCGGCCGTCGTTCTTGATCTTACCTATGTCGGAGGGCGTTATTTTGCAACCGTCCTGCCAAAACGCATCGAATACCACGAACTCATCCGCTTCATTGTCCCACTCACCCATCACAGCGATGAGCCCCTTCGTCTCTACGTTGCCTCCAACCGACAAGCTTGGCCAGAAGATGTCCCTGTTGACCTCCGCGACGGGGATGTTGTACTTGCTCTGCATGGGGACTCCGCGGCTCCCACCAGAAACAGGATCGAAGCCCTGTTCCAACCGGATGCAGAGTGGGGTGACCTGAGGCATTTCCCGGCAGTCGAGACCACACAGTCCACCTGTGTTCTCTTTGGGGATCAAAAGTTTTGTTTTCCACCACACCACCACTACGGAGAGACGATCGTACAGGCCACAGCCAGGTGTGTTGGCAGGGCTCCTCATGCCATCTCGCTCTGTCTTTTCCCGACACATGATTTGGACATACATGGAGACGCGTGCTCCCAGACCATCGTCGCCATCGACCGCCCGACCCCACAGCAAGAAGGCACGCCACACACGGGCAGGCGAGATGTCTTTGTTTTGTGCGATCTCCGTCCCTTTGGCCGCAGCCTCAGGTTCATACATACCCACTACCCTGCCATTTACCTGCAAGGTGCGATTTCCATGTTCGAGTTATCGGTTCCTCCTATCTATCGCATTGCTGTATTTGGGGGAACCTACGATAGGGCCGACATTGGGGTCGTAGGCAATACCACACTGCTTTTCTACCCACGCCTTTGCAGCCTTGATGAGCAGGCCTCATGGCCGAGGACTCCCCGACGGCTGCCTCTGCGACCGGGCCTAGAGACTACGAAGCCTACATTGAGGAAGCTTTTGGTCCCACAGGGATTTCCTCTCGCGACCCAGTCGAGCCTACTGCCGGCAGCGCCACTGCCAATGCACCGCCTTGTGTCACAAGTGGTGAAGGACTTCCCACCATTGCAGAAGCCGCTTACCCCGAGGCCGCAATGCCCGGGGGCGCCTCCCCTAGTGCCCATACCTCTAGGGGTTTAATGGAGTCGGTCTAGGCATTCGTAGGACCCAGGCCACCGCGGAGCAAAGGCAGGCAGACCATACTGGCAGATACCATCCCCCGTACGAACCATACGGACCAGACCCGCCTGCCTTTGCTGTCGAGGCTCGGAGCCCCACTGAGGATGAGGCCGACGTCGCCTGGATGCAAATCCTTGCTCTTGTGCATACACCGGCCTATGTCCCTGAGCTCTACACTGTGCCCATGCGCTTCTTTTGTGGGGTCGATCATGCCATTGAGGACGTTCAGACGGCTAGGGACGACCTGCGATCCTCTTGGTTCCCACGGCTCTTTGCGGTCCAACCGCAACCCTTTCGCGAGTTCGCTTCGTTCATTGCGTTACCCGAATGGGAGATCGCAGGTTCCATGGTTCTGTTCGACTGCCGCCACCTGGGTACTGGAACCTTTGCCGGTGTCGTCCCCGCTATGGCGACTCGTGACCAGCTGCTCCTTGTTGCAGGTGTCGGAGAAGATGCCACACATCATGTCTTTGTACACGGCCTACTTCAGGCCTTGCCACCAGATCAGCCTATTGCCACCTTCTCTGGCATGCTCATTGCAGTTCTTCCACAAGGGATGAATGCGTTTGGCATGTACGACCTGCCCACGATGTTGCTGCACCGGGAACATTGGGACCTCCAGGCCGACCTCCCCGGCCCCACTTACGTTCCGGGTCATTACTTCAGCTTAATGACTGAACGAGGGATTGTCGGTTTTGAGGTTGGTGCTGGACGCCGTCCGGAACTTCGCAATGATGTTGCAGTACACCTTGGCATTCCTGTTGCACAGCTCTTGCTCAAACCCACAGCACCGCAGGTCGTAGATCACTTGTGCGACGGCCACATCTCCAGTGGGGTTCTACTCGCCTCAGGCAACCCGGCGTCTCCACTGTCCCCATCAGGCGCCTCACATGGACCTGACGGTCCTATCACCATCGTGCTTGATGCTCGGCGACTATTACAGGGCTTCCACAGACTCCTCCTCCCGGAGTCATTTGTGTCCCTGTATACGATAGTTGGGCCCTTCACCAGACTGTGCCCAGATGGCTACTTTGTTTCTGTTAAGGGTGCCGCCGTTCAGACCAGAGCCGACGGACCAGGCTTCCTTGTCAGAAGTGGTCAGCTCTTATACTTAGAATTCCAGGAAGACTTGCCTCTTGATGACATCCATGGGGAAGACGATGGTGGCGACCAGCCAACGCGAGCTCCTGCTTCCGGAGACTCTCCACCACACGATCCGGACCAAGCGGAGCTGCCCACGCGTAGCCGCTCTCCCCGCGGCAGAGATCATGACAACAGCCCTGCCCCGACAAACGGCGGACGGCAGCACGCTCCAGGCCATGGACTTGGAAGGGACAATGATACCCCGGCCGTGTCCTTCCCATCAGCGTGCCCAATAGCCTCGACCACCACTACCACTGCGGAGCCGGGACCTGCGCCGCAGGATACGCAGACCCCAGGCGAGGAAGGCTCCCATACTGGAGGGTCGACGCCCCCATCACCAGGGGGACTAGCACCCGATCAGTATGATGATGCACCCCTTTCATACCCGGTCACTTTTGGCGTTCTTGCACAGGATTACACGATTGAGACTGTGGTTGTTTTGCTTGAGCTGCCATCCACTCCGGCTGCGGCCTTAGCTGCGGTAGCTACGGCAAGGACACCCGCACAAGCTCGTGCTTTTCCTGGTCTTACGCCAACACACGTCCAGGTCGATGAAAGGTGGGGTCTTCTCATCGCCACCCCCGACTGGATTGGGGAGGGGGTTTTCGCTTGCTTTGATACTTATGCCTTTGCCGAGCGCCTGTTTGTCATGCCTGTCCCCCCCATCTGCAGTGACTTTCCTCCTAGACGCTGCGAACGTCGACTTTGAAGATATCCCAGATGTCTATGTCGACGGCACTGGGCCTTTGCAGCCCCATGAGGAAGCCTTCCTCACCAACGGCTCCTGCGTACAGTTCCTTCCTCGAGGACATCCTCGTTCCGAGGTTGCGAGCTTTGCCGAGATGCTGCAATCACATCTCCCCTGGGCCTCGCCTCCTGCCTTCCCGGCTCACGATCCTCGTGATCGCTATTGTCTAGTCGGTCAGGAAGGTTGCAGAATCTTTGATGTTACTGGTGGTCGGGCTCAGTGCTATCGGGAGGACGTCGCCAGCTCGATCGGTTGCCGCACCACCGAGCTGCTGCTCTTGCCTGCGCATACTAGGGTACACAATGCCAGTGTTTGGGGTCGTCGCTGTCACACTGTTGTCATCGCCCTTTCCATTGGTGGACTTGCCCTTGACAGCCAACCAGTCGCTGCTCTCATCGATGCACGTCGCATTCTGCAAGGTTGGATCCCTGTCCTTACCCTAGACGGTTGGCTTGACACTCACCCACCACTCCGTGCTCTGTCTGCAAGTCTGCCGATTGGGAGATGTGCCAAATTTGTCGGGGTTCCCACGGATGTGCAGTGGGTCAACATAGTGTCTGGTCAGATTCTCGTTGCATGTGCTGCAGCTGCCGCTGCCTCACCCACTGCCGCATCCTCTACACGGGCGTCTGGGACAGACGGCCCTGATTCGCCCAGCAGCTCAGAACCCCTAACCCCGACCCTTTTGACCCTAGAGCTTCGGGGAGAACCCCCAGTTACACCGGTCCTCGTCCGATCGGGCCAACGTCGAGGTCAGTCGGATGACTCGGCTCTCACGCCAGGCAACTGACCAACAGTGCTCAGCATGGCTACCGGGGCCCCTCAGCTGCATAGTCCGCATGTGGAAGTGTGGAGACACGACTCATGACGTCCGTGCTGCGGACATCCACACTCTCACCCCTGCCCGTTGTGCAGCCTATACTCGTGGTGCTGCGGAGCACTCCACGGGCGCCCCGCGCCCCACCAGTTTTGGTTGCTACCTTCTCCTTGCTGGTCTGCTCCCTCTCGCTGGTCTCCTTTGCGCAGCAATAGCGTCATTGATTGACGTTGCTTGCCGTGACACTGCATGCCGCATCGCTCTCGGTGTTTCTTTGCTTCACACACGGGGGCATCGGCCTTCTCCGGCATCCGGCGTTCTCCTGCTTCTCTGCCTTTCTGCTCTCTCTGGTGCTGCCGGCGTGCAACTTCCGCTGCCCTTCACAGAGGTCGCTACATCAGGTATCCGGCCTCATCAGATCGGATGTAGCGTTGCTGCCGGCCGTGCCATCCCCACCCCATGCAGAAGCACCCATGCGCGACCCTGTGTGCGCACACCTTCCCTGCCCCATACGGAGGGACCAGGAAGAGAAGTCCGCGGCAGTGCGGGAGAGTCGGAGGAACATTGCCTTGCACACCTGCAGACACTCCTGGATCAAAGCGCGGCGGCGTCTGACCGTTGGGCATTCCTGAGTGCCACTCTGCTGGACACTCTGCTTGAGCACGCTGCTGGCAATGCCCCATGCACAGAGTATGCACCTGCTCCAGTCGGATGTTACCCTCACCACGCCCCATTACGTCTCTCCGAGCATCTACCCGAGGCTGTCACCTTTGACATATCTGGTGCTGCGTTTTGCCCCGAGTGCGACATAGACACTGTTGCCCGTGTGACCCGACCTCACTGGGCCCTCCAGGAAACAGTGCCAGCCGCGGCATCCATTGGACATAACTGGGAGCCATGTCCGGTTGCACTTGCCTCTTTGGAACGTCTTGACGTCTACACCGATGGCTCTTTCGGCGACGGGAAGAGTGCGTGGGCCTTTGCAGTTTTCGGTACCCTGCAGGGCGCACAGGTTCTTGTTGGGTGGGCAGGTGCACCAGTTGTGCTTGAAGCGACCCATCCCCACTACATCCATGGCCATAGCCACACAGCCCTTACTGGAGAGCAGTGCGCCCTCTTTTGGGCACATGCATGGTTGCTCCAAGCTCCCCGCACCGTCCCGGCTGCTATACATGCTGACTGCGAGGTCGCCCTTCGCCAAGCCACTGGCAGATATGGATCGGCCACGCAGCAGGGCCTTGCGGGTGCGTGTCGACAAGTAGGGCAGGCGGTCCAAGCAGTCCATCCCAAGTTTGACCCAAACATTTCCCATGTGCGGTCCCACCAAGGCCAGCCCTGCAATGAACTGGTTGATCGCCTCGCGAAGCACGTCAATCACGACGGCCTTGTGTATGCCTGCGGGTCCCCTGGCCTCACTGACCTTGCTGGCATGTGTCGCTCCGGGGCGCTTGGCTGGCTTTGGCTTGCCATTTCGGCAATCCAATCTCCTGCACTCTGGCCCCAGTACGTTCACTCTGGCTTTACTGACAAGGACCGCCTCACGGATGTCTCCACACTGTCGGCAGATGAATGTCGCCCCCTGTTTGGGCTCCCCCGGGACATTGCACCCATGTCCTCACTGACTTCCTTCTGTGCCCAGCTTTGTATCTTCACGCTGAATGTCCAGTCCCTTGCGGAACCTTCTTCTCCCGAGGACCCTACCACTTCCTCAGGAGATTTCAAAGGCCGTGCGGCCTTCCTGCGAGAGCAATTTGACCACTACGGGGCTCATGTGGTTGCCCTTCAGGAAGCTAGAGCCAAAGCTGACAGTACCATGATTTCCCAGACGCATGTCAGGTACTGTACTGCCAAGGACTCCCAGGGAAATTTTGGTGTAGAACTTTGGTTTTCTCGAGTGCACTCCTTTGCGAAGGCCGGGGGAACGGCGATCCATTTTGCTCCCGAAAATTTCCTTGTGCTGGACTCCAGTCCACGGGACCTCTTTGTCAGGTTTTCCAGAGGTAGTTTGCGTATTCTGTTCATCGCCGTCCATGCTCCCGGGGCTACACATCCACAGCATGCTGCATGGTGGAGTGGACTTCGGACGAAGCTCGATCGCTTCGCCAGAGGCAGTGCGGTGATTCTTCTCGGCGATTACAACACACATTTCTCTGAAAGCGTCAGTGGACACGTTGGAGAGCTGGTTTGGCCGTCGCCACACTCCCCAGCACCTGCTCTCCTTGCCTTGCTTCGTGATTACCAATTGTGGATCCCTTCCACTTTTTCAGCCTGCCACTCGGGCACCTCGGAAACCTGGTGGCCACCGGCCGGAGGCCCTGGTGCACGCCTTGACTACATTGCTATTCCTGCCACATGGAGCACCTTTCAGGATGGCTCTCAAGTCTTTGCCGCTCTGGATTGGGGTCAGGCGAGGGATGATCACCATGCACTCCGCACATGGGTCTCCTTCTCCGACCATGGTCACTATGGCCGCAGCAAGAGCCGGCCGACATATGACAGGGCAGCCATGCTCACTGATGAGGGCCGGGCTACTCTTGATCGTATCTTCGCCGAAGCACCACCCCAACCATGGGACCTCAGTGTCCACCGCCATTATGCCAATCTGCAGGACTACCTCTCCCGGTCTCTTGCAGTCGCATTTCCTGCGGTACGTGGGCGCTGTCGTGCTTCGCACTTCAGTGCGCATACTTGGCAACTCCGGCAACGCCGGGTGTGGCTCCGGCGCCAGGTCTCTGTTCTGCGGCCCCGAACAGACTGCTCCCGCACGGCTTGCGCTCTCCTTGCGTGGCGTCGACGCCTCCCGCTCCCAACAGCATCCGTGATCTCTGCTCTCAGGAATGCACGTGATATCATCACCCTCAGCCAACATGTTGATGCACTGCGAGCCACCAAAGCAGAACTCAGACGCGCCATCCGGGCTGATGTCAGCAGCCGCATCTCTGAGGCTGCTGCTACGGCTTCCACTGCTGTCACTGGGGATGTTGTCTCGCGCCTGCAATGTCTGCTTGGCCCTTCTGCCAGGCGATCTAGGAATACGCGCGGCCTCCCACGCTTGCAAAAGCCGGATGGCTCCACTGCGCAGGCCGTTGAAGAGGTGACCGACACTTGGATCGAACACTTCTCCGGCATTGAGGGCGGACAATCCCGTACCCCGACTGCTCTTGTTGCGGCTTGCATCTCCCAACAGCAGACCCGCGACATAGAGGATCTTGTCCTCTCTGCCGAGGATGTCCCGACTCTCTCTGAGCTCGAAGCTGCCTTCAGAAGCACACAGCTGCATCGGGCCTTTGGGGTCGACGCGATCCCCGCCGAGGCGTTGCATGCCGCGCCAGGCATGGCTGCTCGAGCCTTCTTCGGCGTCATGCTTAAATCCTTCATGCGCATTGAGGAACCCATCCATTGGAAGGGTGGATCTTTATACTCAGTTTGGAAGGGCAAGGCCGCTCCACACCTCTGCTCCTCGTATCGCGGGATCCTCGTGTCATCCACGGTTGGGAAGGCATACCACAAGATCCTCAGGCAACGGTGTGTGCCAGCGCTGACTGCCGCAGCCACACCACTTCAGGTAGGAGGATTGCCTCGACGGCCTGTGACACTTGCTGCGCATGTGGTGAGAGCCCACCAGGCATGGGCGGCTTCTCGTGGACATTCCCAAGCTACGGTGTTTCTCGACCTCCGCGAAGCCTTTTATCGAATCATGCGGCCTCTCGTTGTCGGTTTCAGTGGCTCGGATGCCGACATTGCCAACATCGTTCGTGCCGTGCAGCTGCCTCCTGAGGTTATGCACGACTTGCAAAACCATCTGCAGCAGCAGTCCTTGTTTGAACAAGCCGGAGCTTCCCCCTGGCAAGCTGCAGTGACCAGCGAGGCGCTCTGTTGTACTTGGTTCCGTTTCGAACACAGCGAACGCATCACCGAAACCGGAATCGGCACCCGCCCGGGCGACAATCTTGCAGATGTCGTCTTCAGTTTTGTCTTCGCTCGGGTACTGCACCAAGTCCGGTCCGCGATTGATGATGCTGTTGGGGTCACCAAGGTTCCATGGCACAGTGACATGCTTGACAATCCCTGGCCTGTTGCGTCATCCCCCAGCGGACACTTGCCCCTTTTAGACTGTACTTGGATGGACGATGCAGCCCTTGTCATCCAATCAGCCACAGCCGACGACATGCCCGCGAAGCTCCGCTGTACCATTGGGGCACTGCTTGATGGCTGCTTGGGCCGGGCGCTTCTGCCCAACCTCGACAGGGGCAAAACCGAAGCGGTTCTTGCCTTGACTGGGCGAGGATCTCGAAAGCTTCGAGCTGCTCTGTTCAGCGATGCCACTCCCCATATCGACTCTCTGGCCTTCTGCTAAGGTCCGTCTCGTACCCTACTATCGCCATTTGGGTGGCTTGATTCATTTTAGTGGTTCGCTTCTCCGCGAGATTCGGCACCGGACTGCCTTGGCCTGGGGCGCCTTCAACCGCCGGCGCAAGAAAGTCTTCGCGTCCAGCTTTGTCGCGATTGCTGACAAGACTATATTGTTTGACTCCTTGGTGCTCTCGGTGCTTCTCTATGGGGCGGGTACTTGGAGCCAGCTCTCCCCCGCCGAAGAACAGTGCATCACAGCGACTTACTTCCAGATGGCCTGCCACCTTCTCCGGCCACATTACAGCGTACTTCAAGCCCGGCACCTTGGGCAAGCCCGTGTTCTCGCCCTTGCAGGGCTCCCCACTGTCCCTACGCTTCTGCACCTTGCCCGTCTTCGGCATCTTGCTTCGTGTGTGACTGACAGCATTCCTGACCTGTGGGCACTGTTGCATGCTGAGGGGGCCTGGCTTGCTTCTGTGCGTGGATCCCTGAAGTGGTTGCAAGGCCTTCTTGAGTCGGAGGCCTCCGCCGACACCAGTGCGTGGTGGTCGTGCATCCGGCCCCTCATCCAGCGTACACCGGGTACATGGAAAAGGATGCTGCGCAAGGCCCAGCAAAGAGCTGTACGGCAGGAGGCATGGACCTCGGCTGCGGTATTTCACACCGGCCTTCTGGTGCGGCAGCTTCGGCTTGCGGGGGCCATCCTGATCTCCCCTCCCCCCGAAGGCGACCACAACCGTCAATGCTGCGGACCCTGCCGAAGAACTTTCCGCAACTTCCAGGCTTGGTCCGTGCACGCCTTCAAGACACACGGCAGATGAGCCGTCGGCCGCGGAGTCCTAGACGGCATGCAATGCCAGAAGTGTCTACGACACTTCAGTACTAACCTCAAGTTGTGTAAACACCTTGCGTACAGTGCTGCCTGCCGCCGCAGTCTTCAAGCCGCTGGTCACCACACTCCACTCGAACCCGGACAAGGGAGCACTAAAGGCGAGGATGCGGGACGATTCCAGGCCCCAGTCCTACAGGCACAGGGACCCACCCTGCCACTTTTGTCACAGGAGTGGGCTGATGAGCCCACCCGCCCGGTTGCCGAGATCATCGATTGTTTACAACATGTTGGCACCGACGTCGCGGAGGGCGATGCCCCTGCAGTTTGGTCCCAAGTCCGTGTTGCCTTCGCCTGTGTGTGTGCCACCATTTTACGCCTTCGCATCACGGCCGAGGTCTTTGCCGAATCGTTGCGAAGTGGCGGCGACTTCCCTTCTTGGCTTGTGCCGCTCCTTGGTGAGATCATGGATTGGATTCAGACGGCTGACCTTGTCGACTGGCTTGTCCCGAATTCTGACCTGGCCCCCGAGCCCAGCCAGACATTTCGTGACGGTCCTTTGCTGCTTGCCGCGCTGGAGGTGGGTGCGATACACCTACCACGTCCCACGCAGCGACCGACCGAGCCGGTCTGCATCTGTGTTGGCCCTAACGCTTGGTGCTCTGAGCCACCGAGACAGGGCCCACTCAGTGTCGCCTTCTCCTTTGATGAGTGCATGGCCACTCTGGGCTCGGGGTCTTCTCTCTCCTTCTTCGATGGCCCCTTCGATGATGTCTCTTTCGATATTTGTCTGGACTCCTGGATGGGCTTTTCCCAGGTTCCGGGTCCTCACCTCCCGGCAAAGACATTCCATGCCTCTCTGTCGATTGAGACCCTTCTCGGTGATCTCTTCCGCTTTGCCCTTCGACTCTGGGATCAAGGCGTGCCTACTCGACTTTTCTGTCGCCGATCAGCCAGGGCGCACCTATATCCCTTGTTCGAATTACGGGGTCTCGTCCTGTCAGAACAGACGGACTGGGATGTTGTTTCGAATAGCGGATGAATCTCCGAGCCTCAGAGAATGTTTCACCTTAATTAAATGCCACCAGGGCTGCGACCTCATGGATCCTACGCCCGAAAGACGTGAAAGACGTGATATAAATATGTGTAGACTCTAAAGTGGCTTATGTCTTAATGTTGCCTTCGTTTTTTGTGCAAAAGTCCCCAGGTTACACCAGCCAGGCCACTGCGGTTCTATCCGACGCCATGGCCAGTCCAAGCAAAATCTCTCGACTTTTGCAGCGCAAGGCCGGGAAGAAAGGATGTATTACAGGGGCCGAAATAATCAGGGTGTAGGGTTGCCTTAAAGGGGTCTATTACGGTTTTCGGATTTTTTGGCAGCGCATCACTGCGTCGGTCTTTTGGTGATGAAATCACTGACTTGGATGAGAACCCCCACGGTTGGGTTTTCATATCCCCGAGGGTGGTCTTTCATATCCCCACGGTTAGGTGCTCAATACCACTGAGGGTTGGGGATATGTAACGTCAAAGGGAAAAAGAAGGCATCCCCACAGGTGGGGTTTCATATCCCCGAGGGTGTGTGTTTCATCACCCCAAGGGTTGAAGCAGTGCGTTTTGGGAAACCTTACCCTGAGGTCGGGGATATAGTAACCCTAGGGGTGGGGATACTCTGAGGAGATACTCATCTTGAGATTTTCCTAGTCATCTCATCCAAGAGATCTGTCCCTCCGATGCTTCCAGCATCGTCACCATACTGTGACGTCAGCATCAGTTCTATACAGTCTAGGCATGACTTCTCTAACATTTCAATTTGGGTTTTCAGCTCGGACATTTCCACCCAGTCACCCTTAAAGATGACGTCCTTGATGACCTTGAAGCGGGTCTTTGCATTGTTGGTTGTGCCGATTGCTGTGATGACCTCACTTACTTCGTCTTTGCTCATGGTGGTGAGGGCATCGGTGAAGGCGGCGTCCCCCTTGTTGTCACAAAGGTCGATGAACTGTTTGAACTTCCCACTGATGGTTGCGATGCTGGCTGCACTCTGGGCGTTGTCAAAGCGGAGGGTCGTTATCGTGATGTTGTCCCTGATGCTCTTGAGACGCTCATCTTTTGAAGCAGAAGCTTTCACGGCACTGTGGGCACACTTACCACCCCGGCGACCTTTAAACCCTCGCCGATGTCCTTTGCTACCATCTCATCTTCGAGGATGTCGTCGTTCTTCTTGATGTTGATGTCACACCACCAAATGTCAAAGCGACCTGAAAGGATTTCCTTGATGGTGGCTACCTCCTCATTCTCGAAGACCGTGATGCTCTCCGTGGTGTTTTTGAAGGCGATGTGGATGAAGACGTGATGAAGGGCTCGTCGGTGTGGATGAAGATGGTGTCGTTGCCTCCCTCATACTCGAACAAGGGAATCGCACCGTCATCTTCAACCTCACCGTTGGGCTCCTCAAAGAGCGAGATGACGACCGAAGGGTTGAGACGAAGACGACCTCGTAGCATCATCTTCACTGTGTCCCAGCTGTCGTCCTCAAAGAAGACCTTTCGGGCTGTCTTCTTCATCGGGCCGGTTTCGTTCTGATACATCACCATCATGTTTCCCCTCCTCATCAGTATTCTCATCACCGTCTGGGTCTGCGTCGTCGCCATCATCTCCTGGATCACCGCTAGGATGAAGAAGTGGTCTCTTCTTCTCCTAGGAAATGCTGGAACATCTCGGAAATGTCGCACTCAGTGATAAAGCTGCGCAAGTCTTCACGCTCACGCTTCCTTCGGGTCTGCCAGTGCTCTGCCTGTGCCACGACACTGTCCTGAACCTTCGTCACCGCCGACATTGCTTGGAGTGCTAGGACTTCTAACCCAAAAATCTAAGCCATACAAAATAGAACCTGAACAACAATGAATACATACAAGTCTGAAACACTCAAACGGCTCAAACTGCGCACTCAAGACTGAAGCACTCAAGTTTCTCGAAGCAAGTCTGAACCTCTCAACTTTCTCACGCCAGTGCGATGGTCTCAAAGTGCTCACAAGACCACCTACTGATGCCACGTCTTCACTTTGTTGTTTTTATGTTTAGGGGTGCTTTAAAAACCGGCTACCTAAAGCAAAGGTTCGCATCTACTGTTCCTAGGCAGGTCTCGTACAAAGTGTTCAAGCATTGCACTGCTCAACCTCTCCCTCATCGTCATCGTCATCATTGTTGGCTCCGGTAATGAAGGTCATGCGAAGGTTGGAGTTCTGATTGATACCGGCTGCCATCAAGGTGACGCGGGGTCTGTCGCTGACAACGGTGTTGCCATCCGTGACAACACCCTTCTTCGCTTTGTCAATCGACACCAGTTGGTCGTGGTGGAGACGGTTCCACTCAGTAGCAATCGCCCTACGGAGACCACCAACTGTCATGGTATTTGATGTAGCAATTGTCAAGACCTCACCGTTCAGGAAGGTCACTCTCACATTAAAGGCGGTGCTCTTCAGGATGTTCTTCTCGTGGCACGGGGAAGGGTCTTTGCTTTCTTGACATCGCCCTCACGCTTCTTCACTTCTGTCTTCATTGCTTTCAACAAGTCCATCTGCTCAGCAATCTTTTCCTCTAGCACAGGAATCGCGTTGGCCAATGTCTGGTCACGTGATGTAGCGATTTCCCCCCAGTATGTCACCAGCCGCCAGCATCTCATTGATGAAGTCTTCAGGGGTTTCACCAGCAACGTTGGGAACGTATCCATTAGAAACAAGCATTGGATGACTTGGGGCGCCATCGCTTCGACAAAGGTAGGAAAAGAAGCAGTCACAGGTCAATGATGCTGAATGTCATCGGAAAGTGAAACAGGAATGCTCACGTTTATGCCAAGTTCAAAAGCGACTGAAACATTCAGAAGGAAGGCATCTGAAACGTGTCAGGCGCACCATTTCCGCGAAGAGGGTGTCATAGTGGTCGAAATGGTTGAAACACCCGAAAACCCTAGAAATAATCCAAAGTTTTAATATGTCTAAACCATACTAAGCTCAGACTAGGCTTCAAGATAGGCTTTCCTGTGAGCCGCCTAACAAAAGCCAGCTATATCAGAGACCCAAAGTAGCTAATAAGACAACCGAAACCAAATCTTAAGACTAACTACTAGGCTGAAAAAGCGAAGCGACACAGGAGCGACAAACACTTAAATGAGATATACCGGAACTAGGGCTAAGCAAAAAACGAACAAGGAGCGAAACCAGACAAGGGGTTCAATTCATTCTGGTGTAGACCCTCCGATCTTTTTGTTAGGCATCTGCTTTGATGTATGCCGAGGTGGTCAAGTTGCTGGAAGACGTGTCCGACTACCTGGTGGACTTCTTTGTCCTTTGCTATGCCATCAGCGTCGGTGTCGTTATCGATTACCAAAGCACATACCGGGAAGAGCCCGTATGGGCGCATTCACTTGAGCTGTCCTTTTGCATTATATTTGTCTGTGAACTCGTCTTGCGCCTGGCCCTGGCGCAGAGGCGCTTCATCACAGGGAAACGGCGTTGGTGGAACTTGCTGGACACGCTTGCAGTGAGCTTGATGGTGCTGAGGTTCCTGATTGCTACCAGCGAACTACTGGGGACTCTGTCGACTGCCCTCAGGATCGTTCGAATGGTGCGTGTCTTCCGAATCCTCTGGGTCTTGCGTGCAGCCCTGGCCAGCTCCTCACAACTCCGGCAATTTCGAATTCTATTGGAATCTCTGACGGAAAGCATGAGCCTCGCATGCTCTTGGCAACTGTTCGTGTTGATTCGAGGCTTCCAAGTTCCAGAACACGCTCTAAGTCCAGAGCCCTGGATCCCAAGCCGCCGCAAATCACCTAAAACCCGAAAGCCTCCAAACGGCCAAAGCCCTAAGCCTCAGCTCTTAAATCGCGAAAGCCGAAGTGGCTCGAGGAATGTACTGGGCTGGCTTCTGATCTTGATTCTGAGCAACGTGTACATCTTCAGCCTTATATTCACGGAGAGTATCTGGCAGCACTGCCCAAACGAGCGGGCCGAGCTAATATGCCAAAAGTTCGGATCACTGAGCAACTCGATGATGACCCTTCTCCAGATCCAATACAGTGGCCTGCTTTGGGGCTTCTTGCTCGAAATTGTTACGAGCTGTTCTCCGGTTTCGGGGGTTCTCTCCAAGCCGCAATATAGAGCCGTTGCAAACAGTATGCAGATCCTTATTGCAAGCACTCCGACCCGAAAGCCTGGTGCCTAGGTTCGCTGTGGGATGAAATCGCGATCCTTCCCTGGCATTTGGCGGCAAGCTTCCTGGTCTTCGTCGCTGTTTCGCTGCTTCTTGCCTCCATCTAGGAAGTTCAGGGTCGAGGTGTGAGGGTTTCGGGTTCCGGGGTTCAAGGTTCAGCGTTCCAGCCCTAAACCTCCCTGCAGCCATAAGCCCGGCTGCGGCCGGGCGCCTGTCCGCAGCAGGCTACTAAACCCCGAATCCTAAAGCCCCAAAGCCCAAACGCGTCGACTGCCTCCCACTCAACTTAGCAAGATGTAGGGGTCGTCTTTCTTGAGCCCGACAACGTCTAAAAGTCTGAGGCATGTTCCTCAATCACGGGGTAAGTTGGCCTCTCTGGATATTCACAAAGCCACAGCAGAGGAAGAGTCGACAAAAAGTACAAATCCGAGAACCGAGGCTGGTTCTGGCGAACACCATCACCAGCTTCATCTGCAGCCTCCAAACGATCGTTTCAAAGAGGGAGAGGGACCTCATCATTGACAAGGAGGGTTTAGGGTTCGCAGGGTTTAGGGTTTGGGCCTGAGCCTTAAACCCTAAACCGCAGAACCTCAACCGCCCCAGAAGCACCACCCGAAGGTTTCGAACAGAGCAAGCCAGATTTTGGGACCCTTAACCTTGCGCCCGATTTTGCCTCAGGGTCAGAGCATAGACCCTAAGGACCTGGGAGGTATGAGAAGCCCTGCCCTAGAGGGTTCAGGGAAAGTTCACTTTGATGCGTGTGTGTGTGTGTGTGTGTGTGTGTCGTTTTGAGCTTGTTAATTCTGGCTTGCCGTCGAACGTCCAAGCCTGGACCCCAAAGTTTGCAGCGCAAGGAGGTCGATACTGTTTTTGCTTGTGCTGTTTTGCTGTTCTTGATCGCACCTTTTTGGCTTGTTCGTTCTTTCAGGCTTTCCTGCCTTTTCGCTCCGTGGCTTGTCCTGTTTTCCTCGTTTGACCGACAGCGATATGGCCTTCAATCTAAACCGCAAGACCGAATGCAGAAACATCCCACATCGCCAGGGCCAGACATCTGAAACTTCGAAGCATTTCGCAGTGTAGCTTGTGCAGCGAGCACCCTCCTGATTTCGGGGGTGTGATATCGAGGTCTGCATAAGTAGCAAAATTCTCCTTATAGTCTCTACTATGCTAGCGCAGATCCCGAAATGGAGAAAGAGCGCCATGACGACCATGCCGACCACGACCGCGACCAATGTGACGACCACCAGGACCCGGACGACCACGACAAAGACGGAGACAGACCCCACGGACACCACCAGTTGACTACCAGAAAGCCCCCAACCCCACCTCAGCCAACATGTTGTCACCAAGTATTGGCCGGATTCTGATGCACTTCGCCCATCCCCACCCACATGCCATACACTGGCGCGTCTGACGAGGACCGGGCAAAATGCTTTGCCCAGGTACTGGCACGATTCAAGGTTTCGAGGCCTACAAGTGGCACATGTATTGGCATTTACAGAGTTGACAACGAACCGGGGAGCCGTCCAGCAAATCCTTTGTAAACAACAGGACGCTAGTGAAGAGTATGCAAAGCACCACAGCGGGAGTTGCGCCCGAGCAACGTTTTCGCCGCGCAGGGGCCACCAACCAAGCCTTTTCTCTCTTAAGTTTTGAACCCCGTAGTGTTTGGGAGCTTAGAATATACACCAAAGCCTCGTTTTAACCATTGACGCCCTGTATTCGGGTTTCAGTGAGTTTAGGGTTGTTTCGACTTGAAGCTTCAGAGCCTTTAGGGCTTGCGGGGGTTCTTCTGAAGAAGTCTTGAGTTTCGTCTATGATCCCTAGTTTCTGTGCTTTGCAGACTCGTAGAAACTTAAGTTTTTGTAGCATCTCCGACTCAAGACTTATTGAGGCTTTCTGGTTTTAGGGTTTAGAGTTGGGTCGCTTTGTGCAGCAACGGTTCCTCACTTACGGCGGGGCTGCCCAATTTTTTAAGTCCCCGCCCCAATCCTGTTGTAAATCCATAAACGGTCGTAAGTGTAGGGTTTAGGGTTTGGCCTATTGGGGTTTGGGCCCAGCAAAAGGGAGATGGGGCTCACAAGGAGCTGGAGTACAATGAAAAGCTCGTGTCTGAGCTCTACAAGGTCTTCCATGAGGTGGGCACTCGAGAATCCTAAGCCTCCTGCTCTGACCTGACCGCCCCAACCCCAACCTCCAAGGGCACCCCTCCCCTTCCATCAACACGAGCTAAAAGGCTTAGGAAGGAAAAACCCGGACCCTAGACCCTAAACCCAATGCCTAACCGCACTAAACCGTAGGATCCCCATCTTTTGCGCAGCTTCCAGGTAGATCAGAACGGCAACGGCGTGATCAGCTGGACTGAATTCCAGCTGGCCCTGGAGGATGCAAACGCATGTCGTGTGCGTGTCTCTGTGTGTGTGTGTGTATGTATGTATGTATGTATGCTTTTACATATACATTGACATAAGCCCTTTCTGCACAAGTTTAGGTGAGGTAGGGTGACCGGTGCTGAGTGCGATAGTGCACGCAGGGGAGCAATGAATGATGGTTGTTGGGGCTGGTCGTAAATGCGCCTACTTGTTACTTCGTACAATCCTCTGGCTGCCAAAGATGAAGGTAGACGCACTGCAATCTTGCGGGAGCTGGGGAGATCGCATGCCATATGCCTGCAGGGTTTGGCCAAGGTTGTCACCGATGAGCCGTGTGCATTACGACGATCAGAAAAACACTTGTGGTATGAATGGGGTGCGGAAGGAGGGCAGGAGCACAAAGCAGCAGGTGTTGCCATCGTGCTTGCCAAAAGGGTTTTCAAGGAGCGAAATGTGTCGCGCGTGTTCAACACCCCCCGCTTGATTTTCAAGGACGGTTTGGAGCTGTGCGCTTGCAACGGGGAGACCTGGACCTTTGCCTCATTTCTGCCTACATGTACACAGAGCTACAGGGGCAAAAGCAACAACATCGCAACATACAGCTTTGGAGATATATACGTGGATTTGTTGAAAGATTGCCTGCGAGATGCACTCCCACTATTTGCATGGATGCCAATGCTCATGTTGGTCTTGTACGGGGTCGTGGAAGTGACATTATGTAATCGCGACGTGAAGAGTAATTGTAAGACATAATAAAGGTCACCTAAGCTCGACCCCGGAGTCGGTCCATTTTGGATCTGTCTGGGGTTTGTCCCGTTGATGCAGGACGAGCGGATGCACACCTTCTTGAGTACTTTGGAGCTGGACATGTCGGATGCGAGGAAGATCTTCCACATCCTTGCATCCGAGCAGACAAATGCCATCGAGGAGTCCGACTTCTTGCTGGGTTGCCTGCGGATGCGAGGCGGTGCGAGTGCCGTTGACATGGTCAGGATTCAGATGGAGCAGGACCACTGGTGTCTAGCCATTTCAGCCACAAGCTCTAAGCCCTGGTTCTTCGGCTGGTTTCCTGAGTCCCTCATAAAGGCGACGGGGATTGTCGCAGAAGGTTTAAGCCAGCAGTTTCTGACCCGGTTATCAGTCCCGAAGATTTGCGATTGTAATTGGCACTTGTTTAACAGTAACTTAATAATAGGTAGGACACGGCAAGCCAGCGCTGACAGGAGTGGCTGCACCACGCCATGTCGGAGACAAGGTCAATGATACACAAGATGTCAAGGTGGGAGCGCCAGTTGAGGGGGTGGCCAGGTGAGAGTTTCGCCAAAATGGTATTGAGAGATGCTGCCACTTGGTACAGCCGCTTACTTCGATCAACGGTACTCGAGCCCCGCATGACAAGCAGAGCATCTTTCTGTAGGGCCAAGCTTCCACACAGCTCAATTCCGCACCCCGACACGACCAAGACCTTCAAGAAACTGTCGGAAATTAGCGTGATATCCAGTATACAAACATGGCATGGTATTGAATTGCACATACCATGTAAGAGTGAGAGAGAGATAGAGGTAGAGATAGAGACGGAGACAGAGATAGAGATAGAGTCTATGCGTGTGCGTGTGTGTGTGTGTGTGTGCACGCATACGTAGTCACGACGCTGATTGCAATGAGGCCCCGAAACAAATCCTGTAGCTGGATACCTTGGGCAAAATCCGTGAGGTTCCTCGCCGCCAACTTGCGGCAAGAACAGGCCCGGTTTTGCGAGGGAGTAGGTATTGGAGCATTACAGCTCATTTCGTTTGGGGTTGTCGGCTGCCTTCATGTTGTTCTTCGGTCCGAGCCCCCCCCTTAAGACTTACTTGTCGACCCGACTTACGGTCCGGAAATCACAATTTGAGTGAAGCTTGGTTTTTGGACTTGAGTCTGAAGATGCGAGGCTCTTGATCTTTGAATCTGTGGTGCCTTGGAGGTAGGATGCCCTGGGTTTGGAAGCGCTGTCGAAGTAGTGCCCTTTCAAGGAGCAATTGCTTTGAACGCCGCAACAGCCTCGAACCCGAAACCACAGGATCAGATTTCGGAGACGGAGAGCGGGTGGAGCCCCGATCACATCACTGACGACCGCATCGACCGCATCAGCGTCACTATCGAGCCCTTGGAGGAGGTCCCGGGTGGTTGAAAGTTTTTGAAAGAGTGGAGTGAGGGTCTTGCCTCATTGGTGAGAGCATCCCGCCCGAAGTATTAGTTACTAGTAGACCTTGACTACCCCTAAACCCGTAACCCCCAAACAACTGGAACAAGCTCCACCAAGACCCCATAAGCCAAGTTTCAAACCCGAAGCCGATCTTCACATCTCCAAGATCGAAGACGTGGCGCTCCACGAGTTTCAATGGGCAAATCTGGAGTCATGGCAACGTGCTGTCACGCTGCAGGACGGTTTAGGGTTCGGACCAATCTATGTTGCCATACGACCCTGCGAGTATTGCTGCACATTCCATGTCCCGAGGGCCACTTCGGGTTGAAATAGCTCTGTATGGTAGCAGGGCTAGTCCTATGGAATCGTGCGCCTGTTTTGGGTTTCAGGTTCGGGTGCAAGGTTTCGGACTGAGGGTTTGGATTCAGGGTTTACGGCTTGCGGCATCGGGTGGATGGCGTGTAAGCAACACTGAATGCCTGCTGGGCTGTATGAGTCAATGGTTTAGCGCGGGTCACACACTTCCCCTAAGCCCTAACCCCTTCCTAGAAAAGGAGCTCCTCACAATTCGCGGCGATCTTCAGCGACTCTGCAAAGGCTGGAGGAGACCCAATGCTAGAACGCCAGGCCGAACGTAAACCCGAAACTCTAAGCACTCAATGGGGTTGCAGACAATCAGGACTCCGGTTGTCGGGGAACATGTAGTAAGCGCCTTGCTACTGACTGGAGACTTAGTCCATATTCGGGGTGCTTTACCGATCTGTGAAACTGGAACAAACTTGCTCCTCAGGAGCGAGCGGACAGGCCAACATCTTGTGCCCGAGACGACGAACCTGCTCCTCAGCAGCAGGGTTGTCTGGGTTGCTTCAAGCAGAGACACACAGACACAGAGACACAGAGACACAGAGACACACAGAGACACACAGAGACACACAGAGACACACAGAGACACACAGAGACACAGAGCCGCACAGACACGGAGACGCAGAGACGCAGAGACACAGATTCTGGTTTACGGCCCAGGTACGACTTCGTTTCCTGGCTGCGGATGGAATTTATTTTGCTTGAGTCGTGAACCCGACAGTGATCTTAGATCCCAATCCTGAGCCCAAACCACGAGTATAGCCCTAGACACCGCCCTACGCAAATCATAAACGTTAAACCAGAAATCCTGAAACCCTAAGCCCCAAAATCCGTAATTCCTTACACCTCTATACAGCCCTGGACCCTAAACCCTAAAACCCTATATCCCCTAAAGCCCCACCCCCAAACCTAAGGCCTATCATTATATACTTCCGCAGACAGCACCGCTGGAGGGGACATGGCTCCGTCTAGCCTGGGACGCAGAGCGCTTGCCTCCTGCATTGGGCCAGGAGTTGTGCCAGGTGAGACAATCGTCTTGATTTACTACCGCTGTGATTGCTGCTACTACTTCTATCACTACTGCTCTTCTACCACTACCGCTGCTACTACTACTACTACTACTACTACTACTACTACTACTACTACTAATACTACTGCTACTGCTGCTACTACTGCTACTTCTTCTACGACTACGACTACGACTGCTCTCGCACCCGCTCCCGCTCCAGCTAATGCTCCTACTCCGGCTCTTGCTACTGCTGCTACTGCTGCTGCTCCTTCTACTGCTACTGGTACTGGTACTGCTACTGCTACTGCTACTGATGCTGCTCCTGCTCCTGCTCCTGCTCGCACAACTGGTGCTGGCGCTGGTGGTGGTGGTGGTGCTGCTGCTGCTCCTGCTCCTGCCCCTGCTCCTGCTCCTGCTCCCGCTGCTGCTGCTGCTCCTGCTACTACCACTGCCACTGCCACTGCTACTGCTACTGCTGCTACTGCTACTGCTGCTGCTACTGCTACGGCTGCGGCTACTGCTACAGCTGCTGCTGGGGCTAGTGCCACTGGCACTGCGACTGCCGCTGCTGCCGCTGCTGTTGCTACTGCTGCTACTGCTGCTACTGCTGCTGCTCCTGCTACTGGTACTGCTGCTGCTGCTCCTGCTACTGGTAATGCTACTGCTGCTGCTGCTGCTGCTGCTGCTGCTGCTCCTGCTACTGGTACTGTTACTGCTGCGCTGCTGCTCCTGCTACTGCTTATGCTACTGCCACTGCTACTACTGCCACTGCTGCAACTTCTACTTCTACTTCTGCGTACTTCTACTTCTACTTCTACTAGTGCCGCAACTACTACGACTACGACGACGACTAGGACCACCACCACCACCACCACCGCCATCATTCGTGTTGACGAAGCACCCGTGAGACCGCCGGACAGAGATCCTAGACTTTCGACCGCCTGCCCATTGTAAAGACCCTATAAACCCTCATATTGCCTTCGCAGGTCTCGGAGGATGCAGCATTGCCCAGAGCCATCGCCGTCATTCTGAAGGTTGAGGTGGTCGAGTCTGAAGCGCAGCATGACGGGAGCCCCTGTTTGGACTTGCTGGTGAAGCTGAAACGAGGACGCTTCCTGGCTGGGCATCGGGCTCCGGCATTGCACCTGGGCAGGGAGAGCGGCGAGTGGTCAGCAGCGCCGGAGAGGGTTTCTTCCAATGGTGCGTCTGCGAGCTATAAGGAGCTCTTATCTACCCAACCCTGCGTCCCGGTATCTCGGTGAGAGCTTGTGATAATGTGATAGTATTATTTGCCAGATTTGTTTCAGGAGCAGTTGCAACCGAGTTGCCCAGAAGTTTGAAGCTTATAACCCCTGAGTGCTAATCTAAATCCTGAGATCTGCTGAACCCTTGAGTGTGCAGGTATGGTACTGCAGTCATTGGTGGGGAGAGCCGATTTTTGAGTTCGTGAGCGGTTGCCGTCGGCACGCAGAAGTTCGGCACCTCGTGGCGGATGCACGGTACTGGGTGTGGCTCTGCAGTCAATAGCTCTCCGTTTTTTTCGTTTACAGTGCGAGCTGGCGTTTGAAGGGTCCAACACAAGATAGAGCCTGCTAGAGAACCACAGCTGAAGGTGTGGCTACGCCAATCGCCAGCACGAGCTTGATCAAGAGATCTCAGTCAATGTCGTGGAAACATCATTCTACACAGCACTTCGCGAGGCGAAGGGTCTCCTGCTGATCTTGGACAACCAGGCCACCCCTTTCTCGAGGATTTGGTGCGACTTTGAGCTCTGCACGGCCATCATGAGTCGCGACATGGGGCTCGACATCGTGACTACCATCCCGCCCAAACATGGGAGCCTGGGTTCTGAAAGCAGTTTCGGTTTCAGGTTCGGGTTACACAGGATATCGGATATGGGTCCTTTGTGAGTCTGCTGCGCAGTTTGCTCGCGGCATGCCAGAGTGGAGCTTCAGAACACAAGCGCTCCCGGAATAGAGACCAGAATAGCAGGATCCTTCTTCAAGAGGCCGCCGGAGAGACCTAGTTCTGAATCACAGGATTGTGGTGATGGCTCTTTCTGTAGTCCTCTTTTGCCTTACAGTGTTTTTGATCCCAGGAGAGAGGCAGAGACTCGCTTGCTAACCACAGATTTGGTGCCTGGCGAATCTGCGGTGGCCAAGTCGGTGCGGGAGCAGCATTTTCCTATCGATCTGCTGGCTCCGGGGATGCTATTTATTGTTTTGACTTGGAGATGCACAGTGCAGTGTTGTGGTTTTGGTAGACCCCAGAATCCTCCCCGATTTGATTCCTTGGGGATGCCGGGACCATCCTTGCTGGAGAATGTGCTCCCACTACTAGTGGTAGTGGGAGTGGGAGTGGTCGTCGTCTTAGTAGTAAGGACTGGGAGTGGAAGGAGGAGGGGGAGCGGGAGGAGTAACAATGGATAGCAGCAGTAGCAGTAGCAGCAGTAGGGGCAGCAGCAGCACCAGCAGTGGTGGTAGTAGTAGTAGTAGTAGTAGTAGTAGTAGTAGTAGTTGGAGTAGGAGTAGTAGGAGTAGTAGGAGTAGTAGGAGTAGTAGGAGTAGTAGGAGTAGTAGGAGTAGTAGGAGTAGTAGGAGTAGTAGGAGTAGTAGGAGTAGTAGGAGTAGTAGGAGTAGTAGGAGTAGTAGGAGTAGGAGCAGGAGCATTCGTGAGTCGTGGTAGGGTACTGACAGGATTATTTTCTCGATCATTATGAGGTCAAGCAGTCTGGCATTGCTACTGTAGGGTCATGGGTGTTCGGGGCAGCGGGAGACCAAGTGTCATGAACATGTGCAACAGGTGTTCTCATTTTGCGCCAACCACAGGGTTATTCAAGGTTATAGCCGCTACAGCCATTGTGAAGTCCCTGTACGATTACAGCTTTCTGCTCATGTTTTCCTGGTTTGGTGCCCAAGGCACACGGTTTGGAGGTCATGCTGGAGAACGGCATGGCCACCCAGGACCTTCCAAACCTGGGAGACAGTCGACCCCACTTCCCCCTTGTGTAGAGGTCGCGCGGAACCTCAAATGGCTGTCGGTGAAAGGGACGGTGGTCTATGACATGATGCTTTTCTGTAAAGGAGAACTGACATTGGTAGTAATTCAGGCTTCTAGATTCCATCCTGACAGAAGCTGAAGGAGGGGACCCTAAACCCTAAACCCTAAACCCTAAGCACTGAAGGAGCAGGACAAGCTTGCAATCCTTGAAGCCATCGCATCGGAGAAGTTCGACCCGGGTCCTGGGTGCCTGGGCTTTCTCTCCTGTGTCCAACTGCGGAAGTCTATATGGGAGTTTCCGAAAATAGACCCTAATATAGTACCCTAAATAGTAGGATCCTTATTATAAGGACCCCAAAATAAGGCACCCCTATTTTCGGAAACCCCCATATAGCGCCTGGCGTTTGGGGTTTGGATGAAGCTCCGTCACAGACATGTACAGCCCATCACATGACCGTAGTGTAGATTATAGGGGCACATAGAATGTACTCAGAAGACAGCACCGAGCTTCCTTTCCTCACTTCTGCTGTCAAAGCCGTGCACTCGTACGGCTCTGACGGCCTGGATCCCTTCTCGAGAAGCTCCCGTCGATGTCCTCAGGTGCAGAGTGCTAGCGAATAACAACCCGAAGAATAAGCCCAGAGGTGCAACAACATCCCCTTATAGTCCCTGTAGGAATCTGCAAGAAAGATATCCCCCCAAACCCCATTCTAACTGCCAAGAAGCCTATATTACTCCCAAGAGGTTTGCAAATTGAAAGTTTCCGATCATCGAATCTCTGGACTGAAGGCCCTGAATTAGGAAGCCCTGACCCCTGACTCCAAAGCCTTCATATTTATATCCAGACCATAAACACGTACATAGGCTTCTGCCCGAGCCGCCCACAGACAAAGCCCCACACCCTTAATTGTGCTAGGTTTCAGGGCTCACGGTTTAGGGTCCGCAGTGTTAGTTTTGAATGCCGAACTAGCCGATGTTGCGCGAAAGCCTGAAGCGCTAAGCCACCTAAGCCATAGGCTCTAAGCGAGTACTCATATTGTTGTTATCACTAACTGCTACTAGTGGTATTTTTGCTATTAATTCTTAATATTTTTTATCATTATGATTATTTGAAATCAAACTCCGAATGGCGCCGAGGAAGCCACGGGAGTCGAACGTGCTGCGGGCAAACCGGACCGGTTAAGGGTCTGATGTTGTTCCGTGTTTTTTTTTGGAAGGGTGATCTTTTTACTTTGGGGGGTCTCGTAGGTCTGTTGTGGCAGGTGCTGTTTAGTCTTCTGCTTATCCTTGTTAGTGCCAGACTTCCCCCCTAAAGCAATGCCAACATCACCAGGGTTTTTTCACCGCTTTCTCGTCGTAGGCCCGAGACTCCGAGACCTCAACTGTGGCCGGTCCAACACGCCAAGGTGGGGCATCAAAGCCCAAACGTCTTACAGCATTTCGATCCATGCCTCAGGCTTTAGGACGTAAGGTTCGTCAGGGTAGAGGCTTTACAGCCTGGCACTTTCCTCAAGAAGTCATTCACCTCTCAACCCCATGACTGGTCCACGCACCGACTCGTGCAAGCAGAGGCTCAAGCGGAAAGGATTTGACGCGCCGATGTTCAATACGGGCTGTTGCTGTTGGGGCAACATAGGTTTGTATGCATGCGATGGATTTCTACGTGTAAACCCTCCGGAAAAAAAACACCGACTTGAAGTAACGGATCATGCAGAGTCCCTGGGCCGAAGAACCCTCCTTCCTCCTCGCCATGGCGAAGCGGCCCGCAGCCGCGACCGCGAAGCCCAAGCCGGCGATCAAGAAGCCGGAGAAAAGCGGAAAGGCCGAGGCGAAGGCTAAGGCTAAGACCGCGAAGGAGGGAGCCGGGGGAGCCGGAGCTGTGCCCAGCAAGACGGAGAAGATGAAAGCACCGAAGATCTACAAAGAGCCTTTTGCCAGGATCTATCCGCGGTACATCGCCTTGGCGAAGGAGACGGGCCACACTATGGAAGAGGTCGACCAGATCATCACCTGGCTTACCGGGTACAAGGTCGACATAATCCATGGCCACGTGTGCCGGAGATCGGAACTCGCCGAGTTCTTTGCAGAGGCAAAGCTCAACCCAAAACGAAAGCTCATTACTGGCAGTGTTGGCGGGGAACGTGTGGAGTCCATCGAGGACAAGACTGTGCAAGAGCTCCGGTACATGGACAAGCTTATAGATGAACTTGCGCAGGGGAAGGCCATGGATAAGATTCTTCGCAAGTGATGAGCAATGCGGCATGATTCAGATCCATCGTGTAACGCTTTCTAATACCATGCCGAGGATCTGTGCAGACATAAAAAGGCTACAGCCCCTCCAAACCCTCCCAAACACATCCTCTTGCAATATGACACCCTACAAGACCCAAAAATCCCTGTAAGGGAAGCCTCAGAGGACCCTCCATTCGACTCTGGCCATCCTGGCCTGGCCACAGGCGCGAGCAAGAAGCGCAGGTTCTCAGGAGGACTAGAGCCTGGTCTAGTATAGGGCTTTTTGAGGTTTGGGGTTCGGGGTTTAGGGTTTGGGGTTTAGGGTTTGCTGGATGGATTAGGGTTTAGGCTCAACGAGCTTAGTTAAGCTAGCCTTAGTTGTGAAAGTGTGCTATCTGAAGCTACCAGAATAAGGCGGCTCTAAACCAAAGCTTGTAGCAAGGATGCAGTATGGGGGGGGGGGCTGGTTTTTGTCACCAGAGAGCTCGTACGTACATGCAATCCTGAATAAGTGTATTCTGTAGTTTAAGGTGGAATCCTGAACTGTGGGTATTGGGCTTTCTGGGACAGAGACATTATAGGCGTTTGCGTGTATAGCTTGCCATTCAGGAGCTTTGTGAGTTGTCGGGATGCGCATAGTTTTCGTTGTTTTTGCCGGCTTAGGGCTTAGCCACAAGCCTCGAATGTCTAAAGCCCTGCACATTGAAGCATAGGCATAGACCTCAAGCCGGATGACTCAAGCCCCAACCTAACGGCTGAGGCTGTGCGGCTTGCCAGCTAGATAAACCTGAAGCCCCAAAGCCCTCAACCTCAACCTTCATGAGTCCTGAACCCCAAGACTCCACACTCCGAAACGCTTGACGCTAGAGCTTACAGCCCTACAGCCCAAAACTCATTGTGTTCAATGCACCCCGGAGCTTCTCAGTATCAGTATCAGTATCCGTGAACCCTACACCCTAAAACCCTAAGGATTTTTATGAGTTTCCAGGCCATGAACAGAGGCCTGCTCGATCACACGAAGGGGCGCCACAACTTCGACTTGGGAGGACTGGGACCCTAAACCCTCCGATGGGCTTCGATTTGAGGGTTTCTTTGGGGCTTGAAGGTTTTGGGGTTCTTTGCTGTAGATAATAAGGGTTTTGGGGTTTGGGCTTTGGCGTTCAGCAGTGTAGTGCTTTAGCGCTAAGCCTTCAGGGAGTTCCAGGGTTTGCGATTCCGTCTTAACTGGTTTTCGGTTTGGGGGTCTTTGGTTTTTAGGCGTATCTGGTTCAGGTCGAAGGATTCTGACAGTTCGAGGGTGTGGGTTTCTTCGGTTTCGGGTTTTCGGGTTTTCCGGGCTTGAACTCTTAAGCTTGGGCAGGGCCCGTTCGAAACTTAGGGTTAGGAGTATATTGGCATATGCACATCGGACCATGGCGTGACGCTTGACGACGATGATATGTGGCTGCCCTGGCTTTGGCCCGCAGGGGGCCCAGAGGCCTCGCAGCTCGACACCAAGTTTCACATGTCAAGTACCTGGTGCAGGGGCTTACAATCATCAGCTTCGAGATGCCAGTGCTCGTCAGCAGAGAGGGTTTTTGAAGAGCCCCAAGAAGAAAAGTACCGGCGACCAACCCGCATAGGATGAAAGTCTCGGCTTTGAATATTGTTCCATTCGTATCGTGATGATGACTCTGTTCATGATTGTGATGCTGCTGATTTGTGGGGAATGCAAGCCCAACCCTCTTGAAAGCCCCCTTTCTTGCGGTCCACCACTTTGACTCCTCCAAGAGACTCAAAGTCATGATTAGAGGGTGTGGGACCGGACCATTCGAGAGCCCAAAACCGAAGCCCTAAAACCCCAACCGGTAAGGCCTCATCCTGGCCCAAACAAACCCCTCACGGCCACATCTCGAGTCTTAATCCGGGATCGGAGGAGCTCTGGCTGTGGATACTTCCAGGGACTCCATCGAGCTGAGCCTTGCGCACTTCGAGAAGACTTGCGTGGACGCAGGCTTGGCTGTTGGGGCATCCGAAGTTCCCTCGAAAAGCTCCTCAGCCTAAGCCGCAGAACCCTTGAAGTAGCCCCACAGCACGCATGCATGGCCTCAGGGCTTAGAGCTTGAGGGCTTTGGGGCTTGAGAGCTAAGGATTTGGGGCCTGGTGTTGTCTGTCTTGGGAATCAGCTGTTGCACGCAGAGCTTTTTCAGGGTTCTTGGTTTTGCTAGGCCTGGGGTTGTTTAGGGCACACAGGGGTCTTGTCTTAAGGTCGGTCACCAAGAGCTCAGATGCTTTGAAATCCCAACGCCCTCAACCTTAAGCCGCACTTGGTTTACAAACAGAGAAAAGCAAGAGCCTCCCCCAGTTCCCCCACCGAAGCTCTAAGCCGAAAGCCCCAAAACCCCTCGAAGGCGTGAAGGTCCTGGCAGAAAGCCTCCCCCCGAACATCGAGAACTTGAAGCTGAGCTTCGAAGGCAGCTCTTGCTTCAATTTGAGGGTTCCCCAAGAGAGGGGTTCCGTGGAATTCAAGGTTTGTTCCGGCTGCTTGAGGGAAAAGCTGAGTTTTGGGCTTTCGGCTGAGCCATTTCGGTTGGTCTTCTAAACGTTATAAGCCCCCTAGACCCTAAAGCCTAAAGCCCTAAGCCTTTAAACCCCCAAACCCCAGAGTAGGCTTGGAGCCGAGGTTGCATTCAGCTGACGGACGCCTCCCTGCGTGGTTTGGCATTCCACCTCCCAAAGGTTAGGCGTCTGGGTTGCAGAGCAGACAGGATTCATTCAGGTTTAGGGTGTGGGGTTTAGGGTTTTAGGGCCATGGAACTATGAGGGTATTTTTCGCGGGTTCCATAAGATAAGGTAATTGTAAGGGTTCAGTTCAGCAACGGCTTGACATGGTCTAGGAAGGGGATATAGCAAGCGTTTGTTTTGAGGCTTTGGTCAGGACTTTAGGTTCAGACACGTTTCAGGGTTTAGAGTTTTGGTTCAAGGGCCCAGGGTTTAGGTTTAGGGGTCTTGCTTGTAGAACTATGTATGTTTCAAGCAGAAGGCTTGACTTGTTCGTCTGCAGGGATTGGAATCCAGAGTTTCGGGTTTAGTGCTTTAGAGGTTGAGGACAGGTAACACGAAAGTAAGTTGCCTTCATATGCCTCCGTATAGACCCTTGAACTTGCCGGATACTTCTGAAAAGAACCCCAAGAAATCACACGTCTGAGCCAAGTCCGGAGCCCAGGACCTTGTACCTCGATTTCGTGGGCTGCGAGAATCTGACGGATGTGGGGCTGAAGGCAACGTGGAGTCTGGCAGAGAGCAGTCCCGACCCCAAGCCGTCAAATCCTCGAAGAAATTGAAATCCTCAGCATGTAGGACCTTATACGCTGTAAGTCAGAAGCTTGTTTGCTAAGCGTAGATTTAGAATTTGCACCTCAACCGTGACATGTCCCTGGGCAGGCGCTTGCTGAGAGTCTGCCGGACACCTTGATGGAGCCGCATTTGCACTTTGCGGTATCTCTCCGAGTATACGGAGAGGGCTTTGTGGTTTGGGGACGCTGAAACCCTACACAACACTTACAGAACCCTTGCCAAAACTCGCGTATAGAGCCCCTTGACGAACCCAATAAAACCCTCAAAGAGCCCAGGTCCTCGTAGAACCCATATGGCCACATGGCACCCTTGTAGAACCTTTATACTTTAAAGCAGCCATGGAAACGGCCCTATCGTCTAGCCGAACCCAGGAGTTGGAGTTGCACTTTGCTGGCTGCCATCGGCTGAACTTTGCCGGCCTCGATGCCTGGACTTGGGTTTTTGCTTCAGAGTTTGAGTAGGGCTGGGGGGTTTATGTAAGGGCTGAACGGGAATGCGCACGGTCTCGCCGGAATCATCGGGCGAAAGCACCGAAAGCACCCCTCAAGGCGGAAACCCGTGCTTACACACAAGCACTCTCAAAGTGCTTCCCATGTGTCTTGAGGTTTCGGTGATTTAGGGTTCCTAGGCCACAAGAGCAAAGCCCGACAAAGCTCAAGCTACTGTCTCTGCCACCAAGGAAGCTTTGAGCAAGAAGCTCCAGGCTACCAACTCTTTGCGTGAGCTGCTGGGATTGAGCCTTACAGCTGAGGGTTTGGGGCATCCTGGGGCGCTGGGTTGGCCTCGAGGGCTCTTCACGCTCGGACATGCAACAAGGGATCGGTTGCCGATTGCTGGTCGAGTTACTTTTGGTTTTGAGGTTCAGGGGTTGGGAATTTAGGGCTTGACGGTAATCGGAAAGCACAAGCCAAGACGATCAAAGTGGGGCAATAGTGTGTCGGATTTGCAGGTATAGGGTTTGAGGTTCAGGGCTTAGGGTCTTAAGGCTTTCGGGCTAAAGAGTTAGCGCAGTCCGTGGAGCGCCAAACCTCAGAAAGTTCCTGGACCTAGAGAATCCCACCAAAATCCCTGTTCGCTTTAGGCATTTTTGGCCTTCGGGAGCTTGCACGATTCAACGGGTCTTCGAACCCTGCGTAAGTGCATGGGCTACTGTCACTGTGCCTCTGTTGAGCGCGCTCGGTATGGCTGGCGAGGAGCGTGCAGGAGTGCAGCTGGGAGGGTAATGAAGCCTTGAGTAGGTCTCCCAACCACATGAGCCTTAAAACCCGAAGTTCCAAACCGTAAGCCCTAAAAAGCAAGGGAGCCCCTCCTTTTGGGAACCCCTACTCCGAGGCTCAAGGTGACCTACGCCGGAACGCTCGTGAACCGAAACTTCTCGAGCAAAGCCGAGCTACGGGCTTTCGCTTCTCGGTTTCACCAGGGTTTTGGGCTTGAAGGCCACAGGGTGGCGGCCGTGGGCCATGCCCTATAAACCCTATAATGCACTGTAACAAAGGAAGGGATCCTGCAAACACCTTTTTGGCTTGGGGTACAAGTATAGGTCTTCGGTTGACTGGCTCTGTTTGATCGAGATGCGCGACAAGTCGCGGAGCCGGTTGGCCGTGTTGTTTTCGGGAAGATCGGAAAGCTCTGCCCTATGGCCCTATGGACGATGGAGTTGTTCATCGCCCCCTTGCACAGAAGCTATATAGGTCTGCTGTGCAAAAATCACAAACCCCACGCTAAATTCACTAAGTCGATGGAATCGTCGAAGGGTGTTTTAGTTTCAGGCAGGACGGTCAGGGAGAGCCCTTCGACCTTGCGGAGGGCGTTGATTCTGGTGCTTGTGGGCTGATCTAGGCCCTACAAACGTAAAGCCCTAAACCCAAAACCGTTTCTGCTGTTTCGTGAGGCTTTAGCCCTATGCAAAGGCCTCGACTTTAGGCGGGACCCCGGAAGCCGACACTAAGCCCCAGACTCCCAGACCTGCAACTCTGAACCCAAGCAGAGACCATAGCAGATAGCACCTGGGGCCTTGCGTGCCGAGGTACGGAAACAAGGCACCGCGTAGATCTCGGTGAGTGGCCGGTGCCACTGGTATTGAACGTCGAATCGCTGTAGGGTAAGAGTTTGTATTTAAAGTGTCCATGAACTTCGAAGAAGTTCCCTTTTTCCGCTGGCCAGTGGATGTTGCAAAGGCAGCTCTGGGAAACGCAGCGACAAAGTGCCCGTTACCATCGCCCTGAAGTTGCCAGTGGCCTAGGCGCGAAGACCCGACTTCGGCATGAAGCCCTACACATGATTTGATGTTCGACTGCAGGCGTGAGGGTATAGGGTTTCCATTCCTGTTGGGTGTTTGCTCGTGCTTTCGGGGTGCAGGCACGTGTCTGATGCCTGAACCCCGAAAAAACACAGATCCTGATTCCGTTGCGCGAGGTGTCGCCCGGTCGGATTATTTGCCTCGAGAGGGTCCTTTAGGAACGGATCCTCGAGGCGAAAAAAAGGCTCAAGGCCTTGCGGTGCAGTCTCCAAGATGGTGCCGGTCTGGCCCCTGAGCCCCCAAAAGGCCGAAACCTTATAGGGTTCAGTGTTTCAGTCAGCGCCTGGGTATCGGGGAAAAGGCTACTGTTGCTGTTCGGGTTTAGCTTTATGGCAAGCATTGATGTAGCTTGAGGGCGGTGTGCGGAGTCAGCAATCTTCCCGGCGCTGGACGCATGACTCAGCCGAAACTCCACAAGGTCAGCCGCCGTAACTAGGCTTCATACCCCATACTCCCTATCCTACCGTCAACCTGGACACCGTCAACCTGGACACCCTCAACCCCAAACCCTGAAAATGCAAGTCCAACAACCCTGCGTCATAGGCTGCAGCTAAGCACGCTCTCTTGAAATGCTTTGACAAAACCTCCGAACAAGCCCCGAGTTCAGGGTGCTTGGGGTCGTTTGGATTCAGATTCAGAGCCTATGCTGCTGTAGCTTAATAATACCGTCGCCTTTCGCTTCGTTCTAAGGGAGTCCAAAGCTATGGCAGGCAACCCGGCGTTAATAAGGTCCAGGGTTTAAGGTTTGGTGTCGAGATTTTAGGGTTAAGCCTGTCTTTGGCATCTATACCTGGGGGGTGCTCCTTTAGCCTTTTATGTGTCAGAGCCCTGCTGACCCCACAGCGGCATGCCGGGTGAGGCCCGATCGAAAAACTCATCATCAAGCTATGCAGGATCACGCAAAGAAGGCTTGTATTTTCAGGAACAGGCCCTGACCGGATCCACCGACTCACACCGCATCCCTACAGTCCGGCAATGCGTGCAGTCCGGCGCTGTGCGCAGCACTTGCAGGGTTCACCCAAGTCCCCGCAAGAAAGTCTCACTGCATTTCGTGTGCCTGGCAAGCCTGTTTCACCCGCGGAGGCGACGGGCAATTCCCCCCTCCAACAAAAACGGCCACACAGCTGTCACAGTGCAGGCAGAGAGCTCCTCGATCAAAAAGGACGACGGAGCCGACTCATAGAACGAAGACGCGCCAGATCGAGCTCTAGTAGGGTTGAGCTTGCTATGTGTACATCCGATCATTCAGCTGTCTAAGGGTTCCTGGTATTCGCATATATGACACGCGCCAGATTACGAACATGATGTGAGGATGGTGAGACACCAGGTTCACAGCATCTCCGTGATGCTGGGCGTCGCAATCGTGTTTCCGAAACCAAAGAAGCCAGGTACATGTGGGCTCGTTGCCTCAACCCTGATGATCCTATCCTTGCTCTGTAGGCCTTAGACCTGGATATGCCGCGGTTTCACCTGTGCCCCAAACCACAGGAACTCATGAACGCGTGCCCACGAATTTCATTCAAATCCGTCAGCCCAAATACCTCGACCTCAATCTTTCGAAAAACCTCATGTCCTGCACTCCTGCACCGTAGGACCCCTGGAGGCTGCCATGAACCTCACACCCGAAAGCCCTGACACCCGCTATGGAAACACTCGCAGCCCCAAAACATCGTCGAGCTTGCAGGGTTGTGTCGCTTTAGGGCAGCCTACCCTGCCTGAGGCGCTGGTCACTCACTTGCGCCGAATGCCGAGCGACGTTTCGAAGTGGACCCAGCTGAACAAAATCTGCTTCCGGACATGCCTCCGTGACTGTAAGATGAGAGCGACAAAGCACAGAAGTCACACCGACGCAGGCTGACGGGGCCACGCAGAAGAAATCATGCAGCCAACTTTTCTGATGCTGCATGCTCTCCGCCTTAGTGGCAAATGCCCCTCCGCCAAACATCGTGCCCGGGCGGCACGACTCCTGGCGGTTTGTTCCGCTGCTCCATGCGACCGGGGGGGAGGTTGACCGACGCTGAAGTTCCGCACGATTGAGGGGTGCCTGATTTTCGACAAGATCGTTGCGGTTCGCAGGGAAGCCCCTTTACAGGAACCACCAGTTTGTTACGCGTGTTGCGTACAGCACTGGCATCCGATCCGAGCTTGAGACACCGAGCCCCGCCCCGACGCAACGTCCGCATCGTGACGCAGATGACGCCAACAAAAAGTCCGTGCCGTGAGACTCTCGCGCCCGAGGTGCTCCAGCGTGGAAACGATCAGGTTATATATCACGTTCCACCCGGAGCTGCAACCTTCGCGGCCGAAATCGCTGCAGACTGCGCCCACACATATCCACCTGACCGGCGCAGCGTGGCATGCAGCCCCCCATGCACTGCACCTCGAAGCGGAGCTCCGCCGCAGTGAGTGTGTAGATGTCTTGCATGTCTCGCAATCCCCGCCGCGTCAGCTCCGAGGGATCCTGCAGAGTTCACATTTCGCACATCGGCTTGGAGCACCGGGCGACGCAAACGAGCCTCAGCCCTGGCCAACCTGGTGAGCTTTCCGCAGGGCCAACACGCTTATCCGGCTAGCCGCTATACGCTTGCGAAACCCGTCGCGGCGACCGCCCGAACCCCAGGAAAAACCTTATCGACTTGCGCGCCTCTGCAATTGACGCCGCCTAACCCTTGTTCAACTCTGCATTGATCGCCTCAGTGCCAACGTCTGTCGTGCATGAAAAAGTGAAGCCCGTGGCCTGCCAGGCTGCATGTGTCAGTACTGCCGGATGCAGAAAAGAAATGCCATTTCTCATAATGCAGCAGCCTGCAGACTGGCCTCTTCTGCATGTCCCGGAGTACCGGAAGCCATATGTGGCCGCCATTCCGACAATAAAGTTCGGGCACATGGTGACGCTGTTCAAACTTCAGCTGAACTTCAAGGTGGCGTCCGAGCTTGAGCTGAACATAAAAAATGTGTCTCGTGATGGGTGCATCCGAGCGAGTCGTGGCATGCATGCTGGCGCACAATTTCACGGTGAGTTCAAGCGAGCCGGAGCGCCGTTCTCGTAGTTTAGAGCTCGCCCTGAGTCAGCGTGCGAAGGAAGCTGGACGCATTTGACGACGTACAGTACCCGTGCTGTTTGCCTCGGCGGGCCACTTACCTCTTGTATTCGCGATTGTCTATGGCTCCCGCACCGCGTACGCCCACACAATGCAAGAGGGAGTACTCTTGGGCCAGACCTGCCTTCGCTGAATAATGTAGTGCGCAATCGCCCTGCAGGCCGACAGCCAGCTCCGACCGCGTGCCCACCACGAGCGTGTTCGGGACCGAGGCTGGTAGCATGATCAGCCGCAGTGCGCTCACCGGAACGTAGTTTATGCAGTTAATACGGGCACGAGCATGCCAATGAGCTGACCCACGCTTCCTTTTTGAGCTGCCCTTCGCTGCTTGCCCTTCCGTGCACACGGTGGATCTTACAACGCGTCGAGGTACTGGCGGTATTATGTGCGAGCAGAACAAACGCCACTTTCTTGCGACCGGCCGTACAACGCATATTTTGTGATTCCCACGGGGCGGTTTCATGGCATTGCTGCGCAGTGTTCGTGTCGACACGTGGCCGGACTTGAGGAAGAGGTGTTGTACCCGATATGAGTTATGGTCAAAATTATCGTTTATGTATTTTAGTGCAGAGGGTAGTTGTGGCGCCAAAACCCCGAGGATCGATAGGGGACGCGCTAAAACGATAACCTATGATAAGATGGGCTAGCAGAAGCATGCGCCGTACTCGGATTTGAGCTACCCCTTCGAAGCGGAATTAGCATGCAAAGTATTGCCTAATAGTCTGTGCCTACGGCAAAGCGACCGACACGCAAGCTTTCAGATGCGTGCACGGAACGTCCATCGATTCGAAGCTTAAACTTGTGTGCGGATTGTTTCGAAAAAGGCTGTAAGACTGTGCGCTGAAAGTTTGTTTTGCATACGTTCTGCAGGTTTTCAGGTTTCATGTCAGATGTGGATCGATAACCAGATCGATAACCGGTCGATACCGCAAACGCGTCAGAAACGTGCTATACAGCCCATGGCTCATTTAGGTACTTGTCGCACTTGAAAGTATGTTTGCGTACGAGGGTCTGGCCGTGTCATGGGGAAGACGTCGTGCTACTCCTGCTCGTGCTACTGCTACTGCCATTGCAACTACTACTACGACTATTACTACCACTACCACCGCTACCACCACCACGACGACGACTACTACTATTGTTGCTACTGCTGCTACTAGTCCTACTACTACTACTACTGCTGCAGCTGCTGCTACTACTACTGCTGCTGCTGCTGCTGCTACTACTACTACTACTACCACTACTACTTCTACTACTACGACGACGACGACGACTACTACTGCTACGGCTTCTAGTTTTTGGTACTCGTACTATGGTACTAGTACTACTACGATTACTACGACGACGACGACTACTACGACTTCTTCTCCTGTGTTCTCTCTTGGAACTCGTCACTTGTACTCACGAAACGCAGTAACTCCCAGTACATCTCATATAGCTTAACAAGTCTAGTTAGTCGTATGCTCCTGGCAGGTGCACGAGGCAAAAACCTCGAGGATCGATAGGGGACACGCTAATTCAAAATCAAAAGCAGCATCAACACGTAATTTTAACGCCGACTCATGAAAAAGGGAAGAAGACGACCTTGCTTCCCACATGCAGCAAGCAAATTGCCGCGCGCTGGCTTCTGCCCGCCGCGTAAAGCTCGCC